AGTAGAGCGTACTCCGAGCAGCATGAGGAACTACTTTAAGTACTGTATTGACGTCGCAGTCGTCGCGGAACATGGCCTCAACTAGTGTTTTATCGTGGTCGCTGAGAGGGATTGAGCTGAGCTAGTTTACTACTATACTGCGCATCAGCGAGGGCTCTAGGAGGCTTCAAAACTAGTGTATATCAATAGAACAACGACTTACAGCTATTACTATAGCTATTAGAGCTTGTAGAGCTGTATATAGCTGTATAATTGATGAATTAGCAGGTAATTAGCTGCTCTGAGCATCGAGTTCGAAGTTGGGGGTGGCAAATTCTAATGAATTTTGAAACCGAGAATACAACACGTTTGGCGTTGACGATGTGGATAGGCTTCGGAAGATGAAGATGCTCGTCGAGGGCATCATAGCCTCCGATCTGACCATCCCGTTCACAATTATTTCAAACTAAGTCAGTATCTGCAGGAAGAGAAGGAGCTTACGAGCCATGATTAGCGATAATAGGTGAGGAACCCCACTACACCAGTCGCGACTGCAGTGAAATTCTTGGCGTTAGCCGAAGTGAGCAGACCATGCGGGGTGACTTGATCGTGTAGAATAGCTAATTATCTAAGCTGAGCATGTAGAAGCGTCGTGCTCGCTAATTGCGACGATCAGCAATTCGATCGATTGTTCATCCAACAATGACTATGACCGCCATTTGGGATGCGTGTGCCTCTTGTTAGAATCATGACAGAACCAGGAACTCCACTCGGTTCGGTGACGGTCGTTGTTTGTGTGCATGAGTGGGACGTCAAATTCGTACGCCAGAGAGACGGCAAGGAATGGTTCGTTTGTGACGTCGCCTGCGCGTGCGGTTGCTCCAGTCAACGAACAGACACTAGTGTTGGATGCAGCATGACCAATTGGATAGTTTGCTCCCGTTGATTCGTTGCGACGACGCTGTTGTGGTCTAAGGGGTACTAAACTTGCAGAGGTGGTCTAGATACAAGGACGCGAGCGCGCGACGCTTCGAGGGGTGCAGCGCTTCTAGGTGCTTCAGCTTACAGTTTGGAGATTGGGTTTCGTATCGCCAACTCCTGCGCGCCCTTATGTGGGGTGCCCCATAATCCTCCTGCAAAGACACCCTGACAGCACGCGCAGACGCCCTTGTCAATGAGTATCTCGGCTAGCGGTCTCCCCGAAATTGCCATCCCCTGACCTGCTGGGACTGCATGCCATTCTGGTGCAAGGAAGTCCTGTTTAGGATGGCGGTGCTGAGCTGATGACTGCGACCATGGGGAACCTTCTTCGCGACCTGCACGAGCTAGGACATAGGCACGAAGCGAAGTTGCACGGGCGTCACTTCCGAGAAGCTCAGCAGAGATAAGGTCTTGCTCAGGATGTACTTTTGCTCTTGGTGCTACGCTGGAGATGCATGGATCCCATACGACTAGTGGCTACTGCTTAGGCCTCAGCTAATTGCAGAACAATGAACTTTACGCGCGGCAGGTTAGTGCTATACCAGGAAAGTGACTGTCAGGAAGCCAAGAATTTGGAAGGGGTCGAAAAGGCTACTGAATGCTAATTTCATCCAATGACCGAGCATAGACTTACCATTATCCCGAAGCGCCTCGAGCACGTCTTTCTCCGTTTTGGTCCGAAGCAAAAATTTTTGAAACTGGACGCCTTCATTGTTGATTAACTATCGACTGAGCTGAACACCAGACTCCACGGCGAGTCCGAGATGGACAGCTTTGTTTGTAAGAAGCTGGATCTGACCGTTGATGGCTCTGTGCCCATCATGCTTCACGCCGTCGACGCTCTTCAGCTTTTCGCTCGAGCCATTGACTTACCTCGCAAGGCACTCAGCTGCCCAGAAACTGCATGGGCGGAATCTGGCAGCTGAAAGGCGCGATGAGCACTCAGGCAGATTCAAGCCAATGTCATACTTCGAAGCAGATATAAAGGTTGCATGGCTCGTGTGAGGGAGCTCAGCACTCTCTTCGACCTGGACCAACTCTAAGCATCTTACACCTATTCGTTCAATGGTGACCGGAATGTTTTCTTTGTTGAAGTTCGCACCCGTACTCTTGGGCCTGACTATCGCCCAAGATGCGATCACACTTGATAGTACCACGTACGACGTGGTCTCCACCCCTGATGCTGTTCCTGTTGATTTCCTCAGGGAAGTTGATGTTCCAGTCTACGCCATCACCCCAGGCCTTGACTCGGACATCATCTACTATGCTAGTGAGACCGCAATTCAAGCCGCAGCTGCTCAGCAGACGGAGAGTCCTCTCAGTGTCTTCGTGAGTGACATGGATTGTACCGGGATTTGATGGATCTCTGACTGATTCACTATACACAGCCTGCAGCCACAGGCATTCCCATCAACGCTGCCGGCGAGAGCGACCAGACGACGGCCACTACGAGTACTTCGAGTGCCCCTCCGAAGCGTGGTATCGAAGCTCGGGTCGCATGTGCTCCTCAAGCTACTATTTCCAACCTCTACAACGTCAATGTTGACAGTCTCAGCGCTTTCGCAGCCGACTCAACCATCGCATCCATCGCCAATTCCGCTCCCACGCCCTCGGGCTATTTCAACACTTTCACGAACGCAGCCGGGTCCAGCAGCGCCTATGCTTACCTCGGTTATGCGGTCGTCAACGGCGGAAAGACTGGCTATGATGTCAATTGGTGTGCGTTCAAGTGTAACGCCATGAATGGTTGTCTCTCTTTCAACATATTCTTTGAGCGCGATCCTGTTCTGGAGCCCGGATCTGGCTGCTCCAACCCTGCCGCGTTCCCCAACATCAAGTGCTCGTTCTGGGGCTCTGCTCTTGACCTGTCGACTGCGTCAAACAAAGGACAGTGGCGATCGAGCTTCCAGGTGGGGATCGCTGGGTCGAACGGATACACATCATACAAGCTCGGCGGTCCGATCGCTGGCTGGGATGCTCCTCAATCTTTGAAGACTTCTGCCATGAACGCACCGGTACGCGATTGTGCTGACACGTGGACCTACATGGGGTTCAAGCTGTTCCAATCTGGTCCATTCGACCCGAATCTCTGCAGTGCCGCATGCAACTCTCAGACAACCTACAACCTAGCTCACCCTCCTTCGACGGGCAAAGTCTCTAGATGTGCTGCTTTCGGAACCTATATCCTCACCATGACCAACAAGACTGGTTCTTATCAACAGGGCCAGATGTGCACGCTGTACACTTCGAACTGGGATAAGCAGTATGCGGTAAACAACGTCGCATACGACGACAGCATCGGTGCGAAGTACACATACAGCTACAGCTTCTTTTACAGTAGATCTGACATGCAGCCGATTTGCAAGGCTGACATCACCTACCTCGCCTCGAGTGGATCCGACTTCTGCACTAGTCTGATTGGATATGCCGCCCCGACTGTCACCAGCACGATCACTGTGACACCAAGTCTCGCAACTGACCTTGAGACTACAACTTTCTCCACGTCGACATCGCTTATCACATCCAACCCGACTGCCACCATTACTGCTGACGTTCAATGGAGAAAGCGCGACATCTCGAACGGTTCTGTTCTCGCCGAATCTGAAGCCACGGGCGTCCTGAGTAATGTTGTCAACGTTCAGACTGTCGCAAATGTACCAGCAAACTCTGCTGTTGTTCTTGACAGCTTTGTCGCGACAATCTCCCAAGCCAATGGTAGCATGCCCACCGATGCTCCCTCTAACATCATTGCCGCTCGTAATGTGCTTACCGCTCGTGCTGCTATCGCCACCCCAGCTTCGGTCGCATCTTGGCCGTTGTCCAGACTTTCTGAAGCCTGTTCGAATGTTGCAACGGGCACTTTCACAGCCTCGTCGACGACCACTCTTCCCACTGTGACTACTACTGTCTATGTCTCGGCAGTCGCGACCACGACGCTTCAAGTCTGTATCATTCCTTCGCAGCTAGCCGATTACCAAACCTTCACTCCAATCTGGGGCGTGTGGAACGGTAACAGTGTTGGAGATCTAGGCTATCCGGTTGCTGCAGCGGAGCAGACGCTCCAAATCCCCTTCGAGATGTCCATTGGAGGCCAGAGTAGTAGTATCATCACTGTTGGCACCAATGGCTATGTGAGTCCAAAGTACAACGCCCTCTCTCCAAGACGAAGAACCTGACAACTTGATTAGCTCAAAATTGGTAACTCGGTTCAACTGATTACATTTGCCGGCCAAGGCGGATACCTGTATGTCTACGGTGGTAATAACGGCATTTTTTATCGGTACGTCTCTACGTTCAAAGTTACTCCTGGTCCTAGCTGACAAGGCCCACTCTGCAGTATCACTGGCGACCCAGGCTCGCGTGCTATTGTATTCTCATGGTATGTCGGAACCCTTCAATGGGGCCATCAGCAAAACCACTTCACCGTGACCTACTTCGAAGATCGTCCTGGTGAGGTCCAGTACAAGTACTACGACGTCGTACAAGATCCAGGCCCGTCAGCCTCAGCACAGGTAGTTATCAGTGAGTGTTTCCATCACGAACTCTTCGAGACGTCGAACTTATCAAATTACAGATGGTGCAACGACTAGCATCGTTGCGAGCGGCCAATACTTCTTGCCTGGTCAGCAAATCACTATCTCGGCGCCCGACGCTTCACACGTCACCTTCTCGACCTCGAACCATGATCGCGCAAGCTGTTGCAATAAGCGCTCATGGCACTCATGTACAGAATTCCAGCCTCCAAAGAGACCTTGAGATGATGAGTTTCACTGGCTGGCCCGATTGATCTACCTACCGCAGCTTTGATCCAACGTCTGATATCTCAATGGTCTTGTCTATAGTCTCAAGGTACCATGACTTGTCTTCATGGAATTTAGTCAGTTTCACAATCATAAGAGTCGTCACTATGAGTCTTGCCAAACCACATTCCCTCGGACACGTATTAAGGAGGCAGAAACAGATAATCACATTCTAGCTCATCCTTTTCGCGTCGAAGCTTTCCCAGCGGCGCGTGCCTCCAGATATTGGATACCTCTTTATGTCGATACCTTCTTCTTCCACTGTTAATGGAGAATGCCGACCATTGAGGCCAAGGAATATAATCTTCGGCCATGTAGCTAGCCAAGTTCGAGAGGATGGCAGATACGACTGAGAAGCAGCTGTTTCTATGTGATTCAGATTTTTGTCCTCACAAAGGATGTTCATCAGGCGTATCATTCGTACTACGCGATATTCGTACAGCTTGCGTGCTGGCAGGCTGGTACCCGATGCCGGTGTTTTGTGATACGATTTCAAGACACCTGTGGAAGAATGCCTCCTCCGATAGCTTTCAACGAAAACAAAGCATTGGGGTCCAGATGGTCACAATGAGTCGACCCGCACTTTTACTACAAACCATACCTTCTAGCAGATCAGGTAGCGATCGATAGCAGAATGGGCAGTCGAGTTGACTGTATCCTACCAGAATAACTATGGATAGGTATCGAGGTTGTAACACATACAGGGAGACCTTACAGCACGTACTGCTTGACTGTCCATCTTACCGGGAGATCAAGCAGAAGTATTGGTCGGAAAGAACCCCTCGCACGGTTCAAGAGATACTTACTGACGCATAGGAGACTGCCATCGCTGTAAAGCTTATGCTGTCAACAGCCCTGCTACATCAGTCTTGCAGGGCAAAAAGGGTCAGTGGAAGCATCGGAGGAATGCTTGAACAAAACTAAGACAACGTTGCACAAGCACACGAAGTAAGGACACAAGAACAGATTGACGTCAAAGGGAGGAAAGGACACGAAAAGCAAGACGTGAAAGCAGGGATGTAACAATTGACTATGGGTCACGTTGAGACAATTTCCTATGTTGGTGCTATAGAACACATACCTGTGAATGGCCGAGTGTCTGGATAGTTTCCTTGGCCAGGCCCACAGGCTCAGATGGAGTATGATTCAAGAAAGCAGAAAGAAAGAAAAAGAATCCAGAATCTCGCCAGGGTCACCTGCGCGACGGGTCGATTCTGACATGAGCTTTGGCAAACGATGTGAATAGCGACTCTTGGCGATTGGCGATGTCTCTCCATGGAAAAGCGACAACTGTTGTGTTCAGGATCCGTCGCAGAGAATGCTAGAAATTGCTTCAAGATTCATAAGATCATGGTTCAGTGTGGAATACCAAGTAAGGCGACGATTTGATTTCGGTCTCATCAATGGCAACTCCACTCCTGCTTCTGAACCGGCTCTTTTGCGTTCGTGTCCTTGCATCCTATGTGAACAGTGTCCATGATCAGTGCTGTCCAGAATCAAGATGCCACACTCTGCGTTGCTGATCTCAATTCATTAAGACACGATAGTAATCTTCTTGGGCGCAGATGCATGGGGTTCGATGAAAACGTCGGAAGACCCCGCTCCAGCTCATTCCGCTATCGCAGATCACTCTGCGCTTAGCTCACGGGTCATAGCAGAGATGTGGGGGTCGAGAATTCAGCCGGTCAAGCACAAACGACAATTGGCCTTACCTCATACTAATGTTGTCCGCTTTTTACCTTGCAAATTGACAGACCAAAGTCTCTTAACATCGAGAGTGATGCAGGTGCGATAGCTCGCTAAACATCACATACTTCTTTCGATGCGTGTCTGGGATCAGACGACACCCATCAACTGCAGGTAGGAATGGCGCAGTGGCGTCTCACTAGGTGCTCATGCACGTCGCTTATCCTTGTCGTCGCATGCATCGCTGCATCTGGGGCGCATCTTCGTTCGGTGTATTCGTGGCTGTCAGGCGGCTTTTCAGAACTGGCTCAAGATGCTGGCTGAGTCCAGTTCTCGATGCGTGGCGGTCCATCGCCTTTCCAACAGAATCAGTCATTGCTTCCGCCCTCACTCTCACACTCACCGGTATCTATCTTCTCCGAGCTAGCGAAGCTTTCGCACAACGTCAACATGAGCAGCGTCACCTTGTCTCATGGTTCGTATGGCATCGGCATCATTTGCGCTCTTGTGGAGGAGAAAGCGGGCATGGAGATGATGCTCGACGAAGAGCACGAACCGCTAGAGCAAAAGTCTGGCGATCAGAACAGTTACACCCTCGCTAGAATTGGCAAGCACAATGTTGTCATCGCATGCCTTCCTGGTGGTCATCAAGGCAAGGCTGCCGCAGCAACAGGCGCTGTTCACATGATGTATAGTTTCCCCATTAAGCTCGGTCTGATGGTCGGAATCGGCGGAGGTGTACCCAGTCAGGTTCCCGCGATCCGACTCGGCGATGTGGTCGTGAGCATGCCAGAAAGCACACACGGGGCAGTGGTGCAGTATGATCTGGGAAAGCTGGAATCAGATGGTTTCCGTCGCAAGGGACATCCGGACAAGCCTCCGAAAGCTCTTCTAAGCGCAGTGACATTGCTTCGAGCAAAGCATGAGCGAAAAGATCCTGATTTCCCTCGATACCTGACTGCGATAACGGACAATCGCAGGATGGCGACAAAATACGGCTAGCAAGGGGCACAGCATGACCGGCTGTTCGGTTCGGAAGAGATCCACCCCAGAGATCAGCACACCTTTGACCACTGTGTATCGGCCTTTCGAACCGTCCAGCGTGCTCGTCGCGATGACAACACGCCTCAGGTCTTCTATGGGACCATCTTGTCGGGAGACCTGGTGATGAAAAATGGAGAAGAAAGAGACGGAAGAGCGGCAGCGGACAAGGCCATGTGTTTCGAGATGGAGGCGGCAGGCTTAGTGAACGACTTTCCTTGCTTGGTAGTCAGAGGCATCTCGGACTACTCGGACTCACATAAGAACGACAGATGGCAGCCGTATGCAGCGGCGACTGCGGCAGCATATGCGAAAGAGCTCTTGGGTGCTTTGAGTGTGCAGGAGGTCGAGAAGCTCGGGCCTGCAAGTATGCCTAATGTCTCCCAGCAGTCCTTTACCTGCGCGACAGGTACTGTCCGCTCACGCTAACATTTGATATTCAAGAGAAACATATAGTACCTTTCAGTCTGAAGGGCGTTCCCGCCATCGATCACTTTGCGCAACGAGTCAGTGACATGCAAAAGAACGATGAAGATTCAACATACATCAATCCCGATAAGCCATCGCACGGACTTTCAGCAAAAATCAAATCTGACAAACCTATACCGACTCTGAATTCCGATATATCAAGATCAGAGGATATTCCAAGACCTTCTGAACCCAAAGCAGTGTCGAAGGAGTTCAAAGCCGTCGAATCATGCGATATAGTAGATTCAGCTTACGAGAGCGGCACTTGGAGGTCACTCTGGTTCACGCTAAGCAACAAGCTTGGCCAATGGAAAGACGTTCTGGGCTTGAGCGAATGGAGCGCAGCAAACGTGCTGTCATCTGACCGACAAACGACTTCCCAATATCTCTTCCATTGGATCATATCTCACATGACCAATATAATGTCGCGTCCTCAAATACCAAGGGACAAGATCAGACTGGTTTGAAACTGTGTAAGTCGCTCATTTCGAATGTGACTGATCCATAATCATACATATCCTAACGTCCGCCAAGCACTGTGGGACAAAGCTATTTGCAGATTATCCAAACACAGATCCTCAGTCAGTTGCGAGTTTGGCTGAAGAGTTAAGGCGTCCAGCGATGGTGGCCATAGCGGCTGGCGGTGGGTCTACTACCTCTACATTCACGACTACAGCTTCAGCGACCCCCACTCCTCCAATTTCGCCACACTCGCTATCCGGCTCACAACATGCTGGGTCTAATCAGGGGCAGTCGGCTCCTTATACTGCTGGCAACCCTGATAGTGGAGTAGCAAGCCCGGGCTCGAGCCTAAGCAGGATGGTTCCCCAATACTTCGAGCTTTGTGTCAATACTGGAGGTCTGTGTCAGAGCCTTGGAGAAATTGATGTTACCAACATAACAAGTGATCTCGAGTTCTTCCGCTGGGTACGTCTTCGCTACAGGGAATTATGAGCTTGGAAATTGTACAAGAAGTTCTTTCTCCGACCGGAATCAGTCCGTTTCGTCTACTTTGGACTGGAGCGCAAGTAGAGGGTTCATATCCTTTGCAGAGAAGAGAGCTTTCCCTCTGCAGACGAAAAAGATTATGATTACAGCCCGCGCCCACCGAGACCAAGCGGCTCCTTACCTATGCCGAGCGGTGCATTCATCCACTACCTTCATCGATGCAATCTGGACGTCGAACTTCTAGCACAGCCGCAAAAGACTTGGCTCAGACGATTACCAAAGAGGATCAATAAGTCTGTTGTAAGGGAGGCTACTGAGATTACCGGTAACGCTCTTGTGGAAGCCTGAGGTGTACATGTCATTGAAGGTATCGATAAGGCTGCGGTCTGTTGGACTCTTCTAATAGTCATGATCGTCGGCGTTGTGCCTCTGCTCGCAGTATACATACGCATGACAGGCGATGTTCAAAGTGCAACAGGAATTGCTGCATTGGTTCTGGCAATTGTCACTGTGCTCTATACTGTCATGCAGATTGACATCGCCAGTAACAACTAGAGACCGAGAGCCTGTCTTAAGAAAGCGGAGAATGCTGATAGGAAGACTTCTTGTGATGACTGGCGCCTTCGAAGACCTGCGTAGCATTACCCCCACTGAGGGGCTCGCCAGTGTCCTCGCCTATCGTCTGAGGGTCATCGATGCTTGAAGTCATCTCAGAATTGCAACTTCATGTACTCCCAACGAAATGCATACATAGAAAAGGACGAGTCGCCGAAGCCCCTATCACAGGGAACTAACTCTGTTCAGCCGGCATGACTGAATGGCTGACTGATCGAATCCAACCTCTGACTAGAGTGTGTTCCTCGAACCAGGGCCCATCTCGTGTCTCGGACCATTCGAAGGGCGTTTCCTGGGTCCTGCGGACATGTGTTCTTCCCTAATTCAAGAGTATGTCATTAACATCGCCAAAACTAGTGATCAACACGCAACTCATCGTACGCTTGTCACGATAGGGACAGTACCGTGGCATCATAATGCTATGTAATTTAGTTGTGCGGCGCTACAGACAGAACTCCGTAAGGCAAGTACCGATGAGTCATCTTGAAGATCGCAAAGTCGCTGCCGTCCGTGAAGCCACTTTGTGACTTGCGCGTAGTCTTGGGAGAATTAGCCCAATTTACACTTGTGCCTGCGCTGTACTCTATGAGTCCAATTCTGAGGTACCCAGTGGTCTAAGTTCCGGTGCGTTTCAGAGCATCGAGTTCGAAGTTCATAAACACGAGGATAGGCCTTGGTGTCGGCGTCGTGGCCCTTGCGGGGGCCCCAACAACGCCGTCGACCGTCACAGATATGTCGGCCTGAGGAAGTGCTACACAACAGACTTCGAGACCGGTCGGACGAAACTCGATCCGTCCAGCCTTCAACTGAGTCGCTGAGGAGACACACTTGGGCTCAATACGCCTATCGCTCAAACGACGTAGCTGCCCACTGAACTTAATTCGGCAGTCAAGGTAGCAAAGGCACAGAGAGCTTTGCGCAATATGGTCGACTTGCTTGATAATGCCCGAATCCAATCGTAGCGGTACAACGATCGCGAGGGTCTAGATGACACCTCACACGTGTATTGGTAGTCTCAAAAAACGACCAACGCTGCATTGCCTATATCATGACTAAATTGGTCTCTTGACAACGTTCAGCAGATCCTGCTGCACACTAGCTCGGAAGGAAGAGAGGGTACGAGAGACGATGCGAGAACAATGTACAGGTATTTCCGTCGTTACAATCCATGCTTTCAAAATGGGAACGCTTGTCAAGGCTACCGATGCCCATATGATACGGTGTTATATCGGTGCAGGACCGGGTAAACAAACGATCTATAGATTGACTGATCCTGTGTGAGACAATAGCCTGGATGCAGTTCGTCCTCAGATCCCGAATCTAAATCAATTTTGCCTTCTGCAACCCGTGCAAGATTGGGTGGCTGTGTTTCCAAGCTCATAGGGTAATGTATCGTGGGACGCTGAGCTTCGCCAAGTAAAGGCAGAAGACGTCGAGCCAATTGCGTGCGGCCTGGTAGATCCAGCTTCACTAAAGCTTCCGTGGGTTGAGTAAGCGACGGTGGAGATTCAACGAGAGTTCCATCTTCTTTTAACCAGTCCTGAAGCATGCTGAACTCGGTTGATGAGACATCATCCTCGCGTATTGTGCCAACATCGTCCCTCTCCCCATGGACACGGCTAAACTTTTGTTTCTGCCCTAACTTCGGCTCCATGGAAGCTGACTGTGAGCGCCAGATGACTCGTCCATTCTCGGAGGTGGTCTTATATGCCTCTAGCACAGGGCATCTGATTCCGTATGAAGCCATCATAACACGGACGCTGAAATGTATGGTCTCTGATGCCCCAGAGTCACCAGTAGTTGACGACTCCAACGGGCTTTCTCGAGTTCTAGATAACGATATTGGGAATGATCCAAGACCAAAAGAGACACCAACTGAGCTCAACGATAGCCTTGGTTCCGCTGATTGGGACCGTCCTGGTCTGCGTAAGCATTTCTTGGTAAGGGCAAATATGCCCTTACTCGAATTGCTTACTTCGCCTGACAAAATGTAAGTAGGAAATACATGATGAAAGAGACGTGCATATGCCGCACACACCTGTGATAGCAGCTGTTGTTGGGAGCAAGACCGATTTATCTACCGGATCGGTCTGCGAGACAATGGCCATAACAGAGCGTGTCTCTGTGTATTGATCGTGGTCATTTGGCCAATGCCATTCCAAGGGGTTGACAAGTTCCATGACCGTTGCTGAATCAAATTCCGCGCCAGTAGCTGAAGACAGCTGGGAAATCATCCATATCAGGGTCATGGATGCCAGACCTGAGTCTTCATTGCCACCGCCGATATCTGAGTGAGCACCGAGAAACCAACATTGTTTCAGTAGGGTCTCTTGAGGATTGTGCGATGTCCATAGGTCGGGGGAAAAATGCTTCCGATGTTCATTGAGAGCGAGCGCATGTAATGCGAGCTCGACGGTCTCTGGAACATGTGTGTCAACTCGCGGCAATTTACTGGCTTTGGATGACTTAAGCAAAGGGCTGCCAAGGGCACTGACAGTGTCCCAGACAGCACAAGCTCTTATCTTCGCCACCCTCTCCAAGTAGCAGGAGTTTCGTAATTGCTCAAGCCGCTGAATTAGCAGTTCTGAAGAGCTTCGATATGTCTTCTCGTAAGACATGCCTGGCCACTCCCAACGGATTCCTTGTACGATAGAACGCTGTGTCCAAAGTCTGTACAATTCATGAAGGTGTATTAGACCCCTTTTCTTGAGCAGACCAATACAGTCAATCAATGCTGCGACACAGCGGACAGTAAATGCACCACGTGAGAAGCCGACTAAGAATATCTCATCTTCGCCGTGGTCGAAATTGAAATTGTTGCAGATGAAGCTGTAAGCATCGCGAACATTGGCGTGGATTCCTAGGAAGTCAGCAAGTCAACTCATCACATCCGAACTAATGCTCAGACCTCTGCCAGTAGCGCCATCAATAGCAGAGGCAAACTTGCTTGTACCAGTGCCAATTCCAGTATGATAGTACACGATCTGCATCGTTCCATCCTTCGCCACTTCTTTGACACATCTTGCAAATCGTGACACGTTGGTGAGAGGACTGTCAGTACTGATGCTGTCGTTCCACGTGCCATCACAGCAAACAAAAATTCGTTTTTTGCTCTGAGTTGATTTAATGGTTGTCGGCGCCATGGTGTGATCTCCTTGACTATAGTACACCAAGGTTGACAAGGAATAAAATCGAGCAAGGGAAGTATCCGTTTTCAGGTTTTGGTGGGGTCTGATCGACGCTCTCCCTAGCAACGCTGAGACGCCAAGATGTTGTTGCTTTCCGCTCAAATAGCTCCATGAACGAAATCCCTAGGCTGTCGTCATGGTGATGGTACGAAGCTGAGCTCATACGACTGTAGCTCGTATGGCTTCACCGAACGCCAAGCAAATACCAGTTGCATACAAACCAAATTATGTCTCTAACGAAACGCCCTCATCGTGGATCTCAACACCGTCATCTTAGCCACAGTAGATCCACTATCTGTGGGTTCGTGATAGCAGACACTCCTTGTACACTGCTCCTGGTCAGCGGTTGTTACTTTAAGACTAAAACATAGACTTCCTGCATAATTACTGTTCCAAGGTCGACTACAACTGCCCCTATTGAGTGTGTAAGAACATATATCGGAGCTGGGTTAGAACGGCAATGTTACGGTACGACAACGCTCCAATTCGAACAGTGGACCTTTAGAGATAAATGGACATAAGCTAATCTTGTCTCCTAAGTAGTCAAAGCTCTAACGCAGCTTTTTTTGGACTCGGAGCTCGCGCTCCTCTTACTGTTCGTCGCGCGATAGTTTGTATATCAAATTGACTATTGAACTCGCTTCGATCGTGTCCGTGTCGGGTAATCCCAAAAGATATCAGGACGTACGCTATATTATCTTAGCACAGATTGTGGTATCGCGACAAGGGTGACAAGGTAGACCGCAGACACGAGTATAGTGGTATACATGATGTCATTTGGCGAAGTATTGCCAATAGAGAATAATCATAGGTGATACTTACTTTAGTATGCCTTGAAGGAACGAGTTTCCAGTTTTCGACTCGTCGGTCTGAAGAAAAAGGCGCTTTGCTATAGTGGAGGCATCATGGGGAAAAGCAGTCTCTTCCAAGTCGCTATCTAGATGATGGAGTCCACCTTATATGGGCCTGTGCTTTGAGTTTTTGTGCATGGGTGACACATGTGTCGGCAATCCGGAAAATTTTCAAAGAGCAAGTGAAAAGACAGAGCGAGCGTGCTAGCGACCCGTTACAACTCTAGATTTTCCCGTATGCTTACGATTTTCGGTACGAGCTTGTTGCTTGTACTAAGGGGCTTTGGGCAGAGACTGTTGCGACAAACCAGCTAAAAGTGCTGGCACAATATGTGTGGTCATAATAGAGGTCTTCCTGGCGCAATCTCTGCTCTGAGTGGTACGATAAGCTCTCCTACGCAAATACGGGTCGTGTCAGCAGGGTGAGATGTAGAGTAGCTTCGTGTGCGGCGAACAAATCCTGAATTGTTCCAGGACTGAATTTAGACCTTCTGCATTAGGCGAGAGTTTTGTCCACGAGCTCTTTGAACCCAAGAGTGGCATTTAGGTGCACAACGGATTCTCTATAGGTGTGTACATGGATTAATCGAGGCAGCGCGCCTACTCGCAAGCTTCCCGCACTGTGAACCGAGCACTCAGAACCAATGGTCCACGCAAGTCTGGAACTCTCGAACAAGGATCCCGAGCTTGGTTGACTCTAAGCGGATTGTTAACATCGGAGTCGCGTAAGTCTCCAACCATCTGATTCTAGCAAAGTGTTGTGTATAATGAAGATGCTTGAGCATAAGATTTCTTGCAGCAATCACATTTAGAAACCTAAGGGTGTGTGTACATGGTCATTGCCACCTTGCTCATGTATCTGTCTATTGTGTGATCCCGATTAACGTTGTCTTTCTCCATGGTAGCGTCCTCGGGGGTGTGGCTTAGGACAAGTGTAGCTTGCGTTCTGAGATCCAGTCATCTAGCCCTACATGAAATTTAGTAACGCTGTCTGCCAAGCTTCATGATACTTAGTATCGACGCCATTTCTCGCCTTGATGGGGTGGGTCGTCGTGGAAACTTCCAGTGGATGCAATGTGGTTCGTGCATAACTCACACTTGCACCAGGTCAGAACGAGGCGGAGTTTTGATAGGCTTCTACCCAGCCAAATTCCCTTTCGGATTTCTGTCGCAACAGCAGCCATGTTCCCGTTCAAAGACCGATGTAATATTGACTCAACATTGGCGAGAGCCTTTTCATGACTCTGGCAGGGGAAGCCGTAACTTACGTGTATCTAGCAGTATAAGCCACTTTATTTCTGTTACCAAATGCCAGGACTCGGCTGCGCCGCCCTTCAAGCGGTATGCGCACTATAAAGTATGGGCCGTTTCACGAGCATACTCATAGACTTGTCAATTAAGACCTTCTTGGAATACCACTCGAACGATCCTCCGACTGTTCGTTACCGGCACAATCACCGGTGGCCTTGACTTGCCAAGGGTTCTAGCAAACTTCTCTGAAAGCTTTCTCGAAGGTGAGCTTCCAAGAAGACTTTGGAAGCATACCCTAAAAGGTTCGGCCTGCTCTTTGCGATCTTCTACACTTTTGTTAGGCCAGGAATCAAATACGTCATCGCGCATCTTGCCCAACTTCAGTCGGCAACCAAAACGTCCGGCCTCCAGCTTCTGTCTCCGCCTCGCGTCATCCGAGGAATGGCATTGGATCTCAGCGTTCTTTACAAGACGACTCACTTCCTAAATTCTACATGCGCATCACCAACCTCGTACAACAGCTAAATATCTGGGTTCCGGCATCTTCGAGCCTTTCTGTGGGTATATGGAAATCTCGCCATGTCACAGTCCCTTTTCTCAGAACCTAGGCTTCTAGTGAAGGGAAAGGAGCTTCTACAAGAATTTTGCAAAGTGTGGACTCTACAATTGACATGCTTTACCGCAAGGATCGATTGCCCTTTCTCCAGTGGCTTCTGTGAAGAGGCTAGAGAGTACTCGAAGTGTGCTGGGGATCCTATGCAGGCTGTCGTCGCTCTCGAGGCTCAGCAGCTTCTTGAAATGGTACGAGCATTGTCGGACGCTCTTGGAATCTCTGCCCCCCATGATAGGCCCAGCATACGGCGATGTAACCAGCGAAGTTGAAAATCCGTTTTGTTGAGGTAGTGTTGCCTTGTATGCAATCACTCCTTAGACACCTACGAGGACATCGAACACTTCGATGTGGAGTTGCGTCCATGTACTGTTCTTGGTGAGCAATCTATCTGAACTTGATCACGCATCAATGCTCTGCAAACGTTGGGCAACTTTAGAGTGAGCATATATTGTTGCCAGCGATGACAAGTCAAGAGAGTGGTTAGGTAATTCGTGGACTCGAAATCGACGATATGCCGACTGCGTCTATATCACCAGTTGATGCTACTCAATATGATTCACAACTGGTTCTTCCAGCGCATATGATGTGTTCAATGGTGTGATTGTTTTTGGCCCCTTAAATCTTGGCCAGGACCTGGATTGATTTATACAGTAATCGGCAACACCATACAAGAATCTGACTGTGAGGGTTTTGTAGCACATAATTATCAGAATCAAGTTTCAGATTCCGCGCTGTGTGCTTGATGGACGCCGTATGATGTTCAGTAGACGTTCCTGGACATTGGAAATCCATCACGCATGAGACGCAAGGCTCACACTGAGCTGGTGGCTAACGTGAGAACCAAATGATGGAGTGATCACAGAGGTTCACAAGAGTCGAAGAGCTCGTACATTCACCCTCTGGCTCATAGTCCATATATATTCATCAGAGTTGCTTCCACCATATCTAATGTAAAGTCAGATCATTGATTGAGCACTAGACATGACCTGGGTCCGCAACGCGTCACCAGAGGTTGTTGGTCAGTCAAGGTATCTGATGGTGATATCGGTCTGCGCGGTATCTATTCCTCTATTGATACTGATCCTCATTGTACGAGGGTATCATTATCTACGGATCAACAAGAACGGCCGTCTGAGCTACCACAATCTTTGCCTATCGACAGTAAGTGAACGGATCTTCTTGAGCAACGTCAGCTAAGTTCCATCACGTGCAGGCTTTTGCTGTCGTATATATCGTGCTCGCGATCATCGAGACACGGCTTGGTCTGGGCTTGCCATTGAATCTTCTCCCGAAAGCCAACTTAGAGCGGTATGCTCTTGTATGTAGACTGAGGCACAACTCTCGTCCATCCGTCCAAGCACTGGCTCTTCCAGCTTAATTTTGTAAGGAGACTGGCATACATCCTAGCTAAAGTGACATACAATCTCGGCCTGGGCTTCGCGGCTCTGGAATACTGTAAGCGTACGACCATCTCAACTCACCGGCGAAGCTTTCAGCTTGCGATAAGCTCCATCGTGTTGGCCCATCTTGTGTCGTTTCTGCTTTTCCTGCTCTACTGCCGACCAGTCGAGAAAGCGTGGATGCCGGAGGCTGACGGAAGATGTCTTGCTACCAGGCCTTTATTCTATGGTACGTCCATCGCCATGCTTGTGACTAACCTTGTCGCGATACTGTTGCCAATTCCTCTGGTCTGTAAGCTACGCTTGACCAGAGCGGAGCGAGTCCGCTCCATTGCTTTGATCCTTCTTGGGCTGTTGACTCCTGTTTGCTCCTTGGCACGGATATGTCAGATCAAGACCATGATAAAACATGGAGATTCAACCATGCTTGTCGTCTGAGGTACTCTGGAGAACTGTGTTGGGGTGAGTACAGACTCAACATTCACCATCTGTAGGGAAGCGATGGTATTTTACTGACATAAGCAATCAGATCATCACCTCTTCTCTTCCCGCGCTGTCCGTCCTGATTCGAAGCTTCTGCAAATATGCTTCAAGCAAGGACTCTCGTCCTGTATCCACTCCTAAGCATCAGGATGTACCCCTAACGTCCCACACTCCACAGAAAGTCCCCAGAGACCAAGAAACCCGCGAATCCGATGAAATCTCTCTGGTTGTGAGGGAAAGATCGTGAAAGCTGTACCCTGAATGGAAAAGCTGCTCCCGAAAAGTAGAATACATAGAGTGTTGCCACATCAAGCCATATGTGGCTTCAAAGCGTGACGAAGCGGTGTCCTACACGTTTCTGTACACTGAGCATGTAACACTTCTCATGCTGATTCAGTGCATCGTCCTTACTCTTTTGGCCTCTGAGTTACGTGAGCCAGCTTGTATTGAGCATCGTTCTGGTCGAAGCTGTGGCGACCACTCATCTCCAGCTCCACAGGTCAATTCGTGGGAAAGCAATACACGAACGGCGTATGCGCATTTGTTTTGCCCGCACGCGACCACGATACTTAACAACCTTTTGCGGGGCAATGTTGGGAGCTTGAAAAAAGCATCGAGTCTGCTAAGCGAGGCGAACATCTGAGCTAAAGACGCTAAAATGTCAGACGATCAATCTGAGTGTTGTGTGTGGTTCTTAACACAGGATTCGTCATGCTTACAAGATCTATTCCTTACAGCGCGGACATATACATGTCCCCCAGACCTAGATGAAGGCGAATATTCTATACAAAGACAAGAGACACAGGCGATAGACACATGGATCTCGATACCATAGCCATCGGTAACGGGTCGGCTCAAAAAGACTACGGAAGTTCTTTCGATGGCTTTTTGGCCTCCATACAGGTCGGTGCCTTCATAGCGGCTATACAGATCGGGGGGTTTGTCATCCTCCGCAGGAGATACCGCGGAAAATGGTGAGACATCTGGAAGACCATCACAGAAGCAGCCAGAATGGACTTGTCCATCAATGCTAGGAACATCAGATCATTCTACACCATATTCTACGACATAGATAGCTCTTGTTTAGATGCTATAGGTCTTTTTGTACTGCTTCGCCTGCTCACCAGGATCTTTGGCTTGACTGCGATCTTCATGTTGCCCCTCCTGGTGCCGTTGAACTACGTCCATCATCGTTCAGACTCTTCCATCCGCGGCCTTGACAAGTTCAGTTGCCTAAATATCCTCGAGAACAATACTGGCCGTCTTTGGGCACACTTGACTGCAGCTTGCTGGTTCACAAGCCTCTTCTGCTTGTCCTCCCGTCGCGAGCTTGCAAATTTCGTTGACATCAGACGTATGCACGAGCCTGGCACGGTTGATCGCCTCTATCTCGTTACCGACATTCCGGAGAGGCTCGAGAAAGCTTCAGTGGAGTCCATGTTCCATACGTTATATCCGTGCCAAGTCCAACTATATTCTACGAGAGATAAGAAGGCACCATTTGTCGGAGGAAAACCATACCTTCGAGCGCTAACTCAGATAGAGAAAGAAGCATCTAGAAGAGATGGCAAGAAAGGTGAGTACAAAACTGTCGCCCGGTGAACGCACTAAGCCAACGCCAGTTCATCGCCAGAGCTGTCGAGTCGGACAAGGCAAAAACTGCGACGTTGTTTCCAGAAATTGCAAGAGCACCTCACCAAGCCTTGTGTTGAACACGATTTCTCCAGTCTAGCAATCCTAAAAGTCTTCGGAGCAGACTCGGCCCTCATTCGTGATGTCATGCCGCAAACGATCTGGCCTCTATCGCCTCACAGGATCCTTTCTCCACAACAGGGATGTACTCGACAGTCGCACTTCTGGGCGTGATTGGTAGGCTCCAGAAGCCCACTACCGTTTGGTCACACACACTGACTTCCACAGCTACAGTATATTCATTCATCACTCCTCTAGCCCTATTGCCTAGCAGCTTAGGCTTGTTCGCGCTCCTGATGGCAATCAAGCCAGCCTTGCGCCAGTCCAGCGGAAATGCAGCAGGAAACAGCGGTGAGATATTCTCGAATATCATCAACCAAGTCTTCGTTGGCCTGTATACAATGCAGCTATGTCTCGCCGGCATATTCATCAGTGTAGAGAGCAAGACCGCCAGATTTGCTTGTAAGGTGCAGGCGATATTAACTCTGCTTCTATCTCTTGCCACTTGTTGCTCTCATTTTACTATGATGAGAAGTATGAATCATCGACTTCTAACAGTATTTCCTCGTGGCAGTCTAAACCAGGACGTGGTCGGAGAATCCATAGTACAACATCATCATAGTAGGGCTACCGCGCTCTCCCATTTGCTCGCCACGACGGATTCACCAAGCGCCTCTATTTGCTAGATTTGCCGAAATCTACGAGTACTTTGATCGAGGAAAACGGTACTTCTTCTAGTTATCTTATCCGTAGTTACTATAACTGTTACTACGAGTATGCTCTTCGGGCGCTAGTATACCTAAAAGTAGTTCTCGTGCCTTCGGTTGCTAGACTTAAGTGAGTTGAACATTGTAAGGTTAGAAAGATAGAAGTGCAATCTCACCGATCGTAGAGTGAAAATCCTTATCGTTCTACGTCTTACGCGTATACACCCTTACGTTCGCTTTATATAGTTGAAGATTTATTAGATGAGGAGGATAATAAGATAGCTCTATAATTCAAGAATTGTGACATCTCTTAATACGAAGAATGCTGTACTTATATAGCGTGCGAGTGACCTTGATTGCGACTTAAGCCGGCGCATTTATTAGCGAACTTTAAATCCGCGACGGCAAAGTTTAGATCACAATCCCTACTTCCCCGTTTTTTTCCCTAGATATCTAGATGGTGCAAATGCTGTCGTATGGTGTAAGCTTTGACTATTAGTTTAACAAAAGTATTGGGTCATGTCTGCGTAAGATACAAAAGTCTTGTCTTTCGTGCTTGCTATATACAACGTGATAAGTCCACGTCAGCGACGATCGTACTACTATCAAAAATCAAAGGCTCCTGGCATAGGATAAATGAAGGTGTCGAACTTCCCAGTTTGGCCGGCGCTGGTCCTAGAAACCATCTCTATAGGCTCATCGGTCCTCGGACTGTCTGCTCTGGACTCTGTAGCAACAGGCGGATATTTGAGCTGTGATATGCTCTCTAACTCATTCTGGACTATTTCTAGCACCTCCCTTCGAGTTTCATAACGACTGGCCTGTAGCTTGGCGCGACGCTACAATCTATCAGCAGTCGATCATCCATGTCTTGTAGCAGTTGCGACTTACTGTCTCTGCAAAATGGATGATACTCTTCTCGGCCGCTTCAGCAAAATTTGCAATCTCTTGTAACGATCTGTCGAGATCTTTGTGGGATTTTGAGATTACTCCTCGAGCCATGATGCCGTCGATATGTTTGATACCAGGCATGATGTGTTTTCTTGAGACTTCGAAGTATGTTTCCGCCGCCTCACCGGCCCACTGATATCCCACAAGGACGGCGATTACGCCTGCACGAATGTCCTGATCCCCGTCAGTACCTCTCTACGCAGATGCGGTTATGTAGGCTGACAAATTACTTACATCCAGACACTGGACTCTCTGAGTGGGCGCATCGTCCAAATCCTCGCCACTCATCTTCAGATCCCCAATTGCATTCTTGCAGAGATTGTCGACTTCATCTCTCAGATTGTTGAAGAACTGTTGAAATTGTCTAAGACGATTTTTGAATTCACTCAGTTGCGTGAGACACCGCCGCAGAACCTCCTTCATACTGTCCTAGATCAGTGTTAGCCCTGTCATCTATCTGCGAGAAGCGGTATTAGCGGTCGGTGAACTTACTAAGGTGAATCCTTGATCAGCCAACTTCTGGATTTGGTAAGTACAATCCATGTGTTTCGCTGTCTCTTCGCGATGTTGTCGCTCTTTCTCCGCACGCTTGTCTCGAGACTTTTGCAGTGACGCTTCGGCTTTCTCTAGTAGTTCCTGAAACGCTCGCAATTCGATCGAGATATCAGCAAAAGACCTACACTGAATTTGACAATGCCAACATACTGGTCTCAACCTCTCTCTTCTCAGACTTCCGCTCCTCTTCCTTTGCCTGCAGAGGTCAGCTCAAGTACTCGAACTCTTCGAGTTTAGTCACAGACCTTTGCTCGTTTCGTGGAAGATATTGTTTTTACCCTTGCTTGAATTTGCTGTTGTACGTTCTCACAGATCTTCAAGCTGGCAGCCTGCCATTTACGCACTGTCTCGTGTGGGGGAGACCTTTTCTCGATATGGAAATAGTCCTTTTCAACTTCCCCTTTGATCTTTTGCACAAGCTGACAAACACTTAGTTAGCGCACAATGAGGGATAATGGATGCGATACCTACCGTTCGCAGAGCTTCAATCATTTTATCCGCCTGGAAACGCACCACAGAAGATTCTGCAGCATAAGCGCCCGAGATATTCGCGAGTTCAGTATCGATCATACCGATCGGCCAAGGTTGATTACCTCCAGTATATGTCGTCTTCCCCAAAAGGCCCTCCCAATCAGGTTCCTTGTTGTTTGCATGTAGATGTTCATTCAACGAGCGCGCGGGTTCTTCCAAACGGCGTAGAATGGACCAAGCATGTGTCTCGTCATCTGAGTCTTTCAAATCGTCGCATGATGAGCTAGTATCATTCTGCCGCGCTGCTTGCCTATCTTGTCGATCCTTCATGTCGGCATGATCCTCGCCGATAGCTTGGATGAACTCGGACATTGTTTTCAGAGCAGCGGCGTAATTGCTGGGCTGGGTAGCTGCCGCCAACAACCCAACGCCACGAATGAGTTCTGGTGCAGACCTTTTGAGCATCCTATTCCAATCTGGAATAAGGTCAGCAAATTACCGTCAATGTGTACCACCATCACGCTGTCGTTAGTGAAAACTTACCTGGATCCAGTTCTGAGTTCAGGTTGTTTCGAGCCTCATCTAGTAACTTTTTGAATTCGAGTGATTCTCTCTCGCTTTCATCGACTAATGATTTGGCAGCCGCCATCGAAGCTTTAGAATGTTCTTTGCGCGCGTTTGCCTCGCTTTGCCTCGATTCCAGAGCGTCAATATTACGTGCCGCATTATCTATCTTTCTGTTATCACAGCTTCTGATCGACTCTGTTGAACTGTCTCACGCACCATTTGAGGCAATCGTGGCTTGGTGAATATTGTCAGCCAACGTCGATACTGCTTCGAACTCGTCGGAGACGGCAGCGATCTTATCCACGCAGTCTTTCGAGATCGTGTCCAATCTATCGAGTAACCTTGTCAAACGAGAAGTTGAGACGTCTTCCTGCGAGCATGTTACGAGGATCTTGTCGATCTTGGATGGAGGTCAGCACTCCGTGGTCAAGTCTCGGTATTGACACGACGCTTACCAATCCACTGGGGCCGCAGATCACTTCTGCGTTGCGAAGCAGCATACTCATCTTCCGCTCGGCTTGATTGAACGAAAGATAGCTGACATCCGTCAGGTGTTGTAAATTAGCACGAAGAGATTGATGCCGATGCGGGCGTCAGCAAGGCCGGTTCGTGTGTCAAGATCGCAGATATAAGTCACCTCATCTGACCGTGCTGTTGTAGCTCAATCAGACCACCGGCCTTGTGCCCATTGGCAACAAGCACACACTGCGCAAGGCATGTGAGCGCTTGTGGTCCTGCGCTTAGTACGCTGCCCCAGTCGTTGTTGCTTTTGCGAAGGGTTTTTTCGGTTTGAGATCGAATGAGCCGAGCCATGTCTCGATCTTGGGAGGCATTGCATCTCAGAGTCGCCATGTCTGATGCAGGAAGGAGTTTTTTTGGTTCTGTGGACAGGCTGGGGATCAAGATAGTACGTGTATTGGACGATCAGTCTTTATCATTAGATGGTGCGGCATGACTTCCCCATGCCAGCCATCGGTCAGTAAGATTTGTCATTCATGTTAGTTGCATATGCTGACACGTGGCGTCACACAGCTGTGAGCTATCGTTTCAGCCGCAACTAAAGGTGCAGCGTGATATTAAGCCATGGGGGCTGCATGCAGCCGGTCCACCAGCCCAGTGGCTTGTCTACTTTCGAATCAATCTGGTCTGTCCCCAGGATACATAGGCGGACGCAGACATGAGACTTTGAGTCGTCATGGTTATTCGGCCGATCGCATCAGTATTTACCGAGGTCGCATGCGCCGCGATCGTACGTCTTATAAATTCGTATAGGTTCCAAGTGCTTGTCCACGACGACAAAGACATACCAGAGTACACCATGGAAGCATTCATCGAGCCTATGAGTCAATTGATCATAGATCTCTCAGCGTTCAATTCTGAAAAGAACTCGACTGTGGACAGCGATAGAACGAATGTTCTCGCTGCTTTCAGGTTGTTCGTCGATGCTGTTGAGACATTCGCCGAGCACCTGCATCGCCAATTGCACCGCGACAAAATCGCATTTACATCCACGGGCAAAGAGGTTACTGCTACCATAAATGACCATAAAGATAACTTGCTGCAGCGCTCCAAGCACATGCTGGAGATCGCCGATGATGCAGTTACCAACACACAGCAATTGAAACGACTTGCCCTGGACTTGCAGCTTCGCGCTAGCAAAATTCGGGAAGCAATCGAAGAATTGCGTGTTCAAACAATACAAAGGAGCAAAGTTGACGAAGCACGAATAAACCAGATCGAAGGGGAACTCGAAAAACAACTTGCTGTAGTGAAGGAGACCGACGCGAAGCTACAGGATCTGGAGCGGGATATGGGTAACGCCGAGGATACGCAAACGACAATGTCAATGGTGAGTCAGATGCGAGGACCAAGTGGCCTTGTGTGTCTAATCTACTGCTAATCGCCTCGGACCCAGGTTCGCTTTGCTTCATTGTTCCTGAGGCAAACTGTGCCAGTTGTTGGCATACCGCTCCGCATCTATAGTGATATTTATGGAAGGTGAGCTCTCTAGTTAGCTTACGGCGACATCGTCTATACACTACGAAGTAGCTCCGCTGATGAAGCAAGGTCCGCCCAACGCGAACTGGACGCCCTCAAGGTCCAAAAAGAAAGTGTTTTGAGAGAAGCTCGCGATCTGAGTGCTTCCATGGACTCGTTGAAGGCACAATGTTTGCAAAATGCCTCCAACATCGCGAGATGCGAAGGTCAACTCAAAGATGCTGGTCACATGCTCGACGATCTGCACAAGAGTGAAATTGGAGCCATTGATCTGGTGCATCTCGATGCTCTGAAGCAGACAGCCAGCCGTTTCGTCAGCTACGCTACAGATCTCGAAGGCGATGTCTGCAAAATCCACTGGGCCGAAGCATCACTTGAACTGCAAACGAACGTACGTTCACTCGTCGAAGGCATGAGAAAGGTTGAAGATCTTGATTTTGCGCTAGCATTGAGGAGACTTGAGTGATTGCAAGACGGTCAAGATCTTTTTGTACCATTGATCGTCGTCTTTGGTTTGCTTTGGTTGATGATCGCAGAGATCGCCGGCTATCTCGCTGATTGAGAATTGCTTTGAGATGTTAGTTACGCCGCACGACTCCACTGTAGTGAGAACAAAGCTCGTGCAGAACAGATCATGTGGTGAACAATCTGCGAGACCCTGAGTGCGATTAAAGCCTAAGAAGAAGCTCCCTCGCCTCGTTACAGTATGTTTATACCCTTGTACCCCCATTGCAGGTGGGCAACAGCATCTGATCAGCAGGTTACGCCAACTTTCTGAGAAGACTTGACAATGCCTGGGCTCTCGCGGAAAATCTTAGACCGCCTTACTTTGAGATTAAGATCCATCAAAAACATTCACCATGTGGTGTTGTACTCATGTGGGGTCACAAATTGAGTGTGGTTATGCAATCACAGCAACGCCTACCCAGGTTGTGCAAGCCCGATCGACTGAGGACCACATTAATGTAAGAAACAAAGCACTCATACAGAATCTGCACATTCAGGTCGGGATGCGTGTGTACACTGTAATCGTGGCTGCAGACATGAGCTGAGTCCTATTGTTCAGCAATCAGGCTGTGGTGGGGTTTCCGTCCACGCTGACACGGCACGCTTCGTCTACCCCGAAATGGCAAAGCCACAAAATCACGAAGCGGAAGAGCACCATTGTGCCACTCATCCAGGCCCCAAGTCGCAGCTTCAAGGTCAGACACAGCGTAAGGTCGCCATAGCATTCTTGGACTCTACTGGTAGGGGCACTAGTGAGGTGCCATATTTGACATTCGGCAAGGTCCGAAGCGGACGATCGTCTTGTCCCGACCACGGCATCTCATGGGGAAGCAGGCACTGGACAATTCTGGCCGCGCCACGATTCGGACGGTCGACAGCGCGGGGACGTGGCTCGAGCAAGCTTCGAGGATGAGAACAACCATGCAGCCAAGCCAATAGTGTCATGCCCACCAGTTTATGTTCAGGGTATCTAGCGGCTGTCTGCATTTTGACCAGACAGTTCAGGCAACAAGACTACAGGCTCAATTGAATGATGCATCAAGCTATTGTGTTTAGAGAAACGTTACTATGAGAGTCGCAACGCGGGATCAGAAAGGGATTGTACGTAGCTAGTGGCCAAGTACTTTTCTGGTTTAGTCATGCATATAATGAAGCTAGCCAACTTTACTATAGTGAGCATGTGCTACGAAGGTGACTGTTCCATATGAAACCAGCTGCGTCGCGGCTAGCCACCGCTTTGAGACAAACGTACACAAAAGCAAGCTAGCCAGACTTATAGAAGAGGTAAGCATGCAGATGGGGTGGCGGTCTGACGAAGAGCTGGACTCGAGGCTGAACAAACTTTCGACACCCCACTCTCCACTCCACATCTGACATACGACCACCAAGACAAGCCGGCAATGCCATTAGAGTGCCTACGTCGTGGCAATGGGAGGCCCTCTATACAGCTGCACACGCGAGCTAAACACCAATGGTCCGGGCTCCACCCGGCCAAGGGCTGAATATAACAGCCGCAAGTCCACATCTCAGAATTGGTCAAAGCCGCCTTGTAGGTGTGCCTTCGATTCCGGGGCGACTCGTGTCAGCTGTGACTAAGTAAGGTCAATTTTGGATATACCCCAGCTGTTTTGAGCAAAAGTACCTTTGCGTCTCTCATCCACACCTTATTTCTCTGTTACACAGGCGTCCATTGGCTCTCATTCTATCCAGGGCTCTGCCCAAGTTCACCATGGACGACGAAACGTTCATTGCAAGCCGCTTGAGCGAAGCCGGCATCGCAGCTGATCAGGAAGCCATCCAACTTGTGAAGCAGTGTGCCATCTATGGCAAAACAGGATGCAAAGACCGTGAGATCATGTCACTAAGCGCGGCACTATCGACTCTGGCTAGCAAAACCTCATCGAGCGTGTTCAAACATCTGGAAAAGAAGTATGCAGAAACTACTTCTTCAGCAATCCAGTCAACCACTGCTGTCGCCGGTAAGGTTGGCCAAGTGTTGGGAGCCGCGGGAGCAGTCTTGAGCATTGCCACTTTTGTCTTCAACCTAGTCGCGGATATTCAGGATCGCGAAGAGACGAATGAGATTGCTCAGCGACATTTGTCAGGCTTTGATGCTGCTACTGGACTCCAGCCAGAATCCATCCGCATCGTAGCGGCTGTCAAACAAATTGTTGAGAGAGGCTTCGACCAGCATGAACTACGTTCGATCAATGCCGAGAGCAGTGTCACCGTTGACTTTCTGGTCAACACCATCATCCCTCTTGCGCATGATCTCGAGAGGTTGGACGATCAAACGGTCGCACGCTATCATGTGAGACTTGTTGAGCGCATCAATGTCAACCGCAAAGATATACACATCCACTTCCAGAGGTTCAGCTCGGGAGTAGAAGGCATAGCTACTCGTGCGGACTACCAGATTGATACGAACCATTTGGTTTGTTACGCAAAGGCATGCACGCTAGATGCATTCCTGACGTTCTACGAATTGCTGTTGTCGAACCGCATGCATGATGGCCTCGTAGAACACAACTGTTCCTTGTTCACTCAGCGCAATCACGATGCGGTGGCAGTCCTTCAAAAATACCTCGAGATGTATACAACGGGACGGACGCAGATGATCAAGACGTATTACTATTACGAGTGAGTCATCAAGAGGCGTCTCTACCGAGTCCAAAGCTTACCACACAACAGTGGCCATAATGCTCTACATCGTGACTGCGTCTATGATGACGCATCTCCACTCGACAACATCATCAGCCCGATTCCACTCGAAGAAGTCGCAAGATCGGGGGTGGATTGGAATGGATGTGGTATGGAGATGGTAAACGGCCACTGCAAGTTCTGGTCCGCAATATGGGTGAATCGAACGCACCCGGCTGCACAGAGAACCAAACACGCAGCAATCCGATATATACAGGGTCGCACAGTCATTGACACGGGCGAGGATTGGCAAAGACTCGTGGGTCGGCCACAAGATACCATGACCAGATTAGAGGGCAAGATCAAGGCGATCACGTTTTGGACTCAAAGAGCAATGATCAAAGCAAACATCAAACATATGCAGGAGAGTGTTTTGCAAAAGATTGCTGAGCAGGCTAAGATCGGAGAGCACAAAGCTGGATCGGGATGGTGGCCTTGGTAAAAAGGAACACAGTCGCCTATTTCTTCATGAAATCGTTATATCAACGAGCTTCTCAACACTGATTTGATTCACCGATCGATCCAATTCATTATGCTACTTGGCTTTATAGCAAGCTTGTCAACCGCCTCCTAGTAGTTTCTTTTGCTTCACTCATTGCGCTCGTTACAATCAGGTCTTTGCTCACTTGTCTTTCCTCGCTCACGTAACGAACCCTCCTATCTTATAGAGGAAGTGGAGAACCGCCCTTACTGCTAGCAGGTCTGCTTTCCATTTTTCTCTTAGTCTATTTACTAGTTGTCTAGTCCGTGGATCTTCCTAGAGGATTCTGTTACGATCCGCCATTGGCTAAAGGTCCTCACCTGCCAAGACAGCGAGCAGGATGGCTGTGTGCCGATCCTCACGCGCTTGGCGGATGAGCTGATCCGCAAGCAGCGCGGTCAGGGTCACCTTGAAAACTCACCAGCTTGGCGAGAGAGCTCGAGGTGAAACCTCACTCCCTCACGACGTGAGCTGGTGAGCTACGAAGCAACTCCTTCCCGTCTAATCAAGTTCGTCAAAATAGGTCAAGATGAGGGTAAAGGTTTCAGGACCTTGTGATAATCACCAAACGCCTGTCAATTCCTTATATCATTCCAAACAAGTGACTACGCTTCTTCCACGTGTAGGTCGACCGTAGAGGCCTCCTCCATAAGGGTATTTCCCCGTGTCGAGTTCGTCCTTATTAGCTGAACACTCCTTAGAGGCTGATTGCAGGTGGTAGATCGTGTCTTGAACTAACCCGTTACATGTTTTTCCTAGCTCTTGTATGTTTCTTTATTTTGTCACGAATAGCCTTCCTGTAGCACTAACCTAAGTAGTTCTCAAATGAAACCTCTTAGAATTGGCTCTGATCTCCAGTTTATTCCAGATGCTTTGCAACTGAATTAGCTACCCGTTAGTTTCATGTGAATTTCGTTTCAATTTCAAGTCCTATACAGCTACCTCGTCGTCGCCACAAAGCTCTTCGATATCGGCGTGTTTACCGTGTTTACCGTGTTCAACTAGTTCTTCAAAGTCCTAATGCTTCTTCCAACTCTTAAGACACTCTTCCGTCTCGACGTGTTAAAGCTGATCCAAACCCTGTCCTAAGGTACAGCGCGTCGACAACTGCTAAAGATCCTCTCTAACTCCGCAGACATCGGGCTGGCCGAGAGGACAATAATAGCCATTTGCTAGAGGTTCGGATACTTACGCTCCTGCTAAGCTTCGAGCTACCATTATAGAGGGTTATCGATGGCGAGTGAGTCACCCTTTATGGAATGATCAAACTCATTAGTGACCTTATTGAAGAGATCCAGAGGAGAACACAAGTTCTTGTTAAAGGACTGACCAAAAGTGGAGATCCGAAACTGATCATCCTAATTGCGCCTTTGGAACAAGTTGTTGGTCGACAGAGTCTTAAATATCTGTCCTTACCGGCAAAATTGGTCCTGGTGGTCCTCCCTAAATGGTAAATCTGCGTAGAAATCTGTATGGCTTGACTGATCTCTCTGTTATGTATGTTTAGATCAACGGCGCGGTCAATGAAATTACCGATTTCCCTGGTTACATACCTTCCAGGCTGAGGTGCTCTCGAATGTAGAACTTGAAGTCTTTTGTAAAGACAGCGCGAATTGTATGTAGAAGATAAGTCATGAAGTCACAAAGTAGAAGTGAGCGTGGAATAGCACTCCGCAATGCCCAGTCTGCCAGCTGCGACCCCGCATTCAGCCGCATGCTCCTGTTGTGCCCCTGTCTACAACAACCAAGCCCACTTCAGCTGAGGCGGCGGCCTCCAAAACATTGCTACCAGTCATGCAGAACCGCTTGCATTCTGGTGACCTCGGAGTTGATGCTTTGCCCCAAAGCGGACTTTGTGGCTCCACGAGCAGCAAAGTTCGTACCTGACCTGCACAAAAGTAAATTAGAGCATGTACATTTGAAAAAACACCATATTTGCAAGACATCGCAAGCTATGCGAAACCACAGTATGGCTCAGCTCCTTGTCACGTTCGGGACGAAAATTCCTTGTAAGACTGTTGCGCTTAGGTCGCGCGAATGCGCCTCGCGGGGGGACTTGTTGGTAGAGAATGGTGGCTGTCGATAGAGCGGATGAAATCGTGCAAGACCTTGTCAGCACTTATTGAGCCACAATATCAGACGGGAACTCTAGCAGTGGAGCGATCCTGATGCGAGATCTGTTCAACAAATGGAGCGGTACATTACCAGGTACATAGCTTGCGAGACGTCGCGACCGTTATCGTGGCGTGAGACTAGACATGGAAGAAGGCTTGGATGAGGGATCTAGCGTGAGAAGCCTTGGCTCTTCGAACGCATTGCGGGTTCATGTGTCACTTCGGATCAACTATGCCCTCCTGTCGTGTTCTAGGCCCCAAAGTGAAGGATACCAGCGACAGTAAGACGCAAGTGTCGTGAGGAGCAGCTTGTTTGGTAATTTGTCATTCGCGCTGATCTAACAATCTTTCCAGAAATTATTTACAGTGTTGACTCGGACACGCCGTGCATATCGGATTGTGATATGCTGGAATCATTTGCAGGTCCGGTAAACCTTCTTTATACTAGCGAATCACGAAAGCAGAGGATCGCGGTCCTGGGAATTGTGAGGATCTTGCGCTAGGCAAGCGTGGCTGAGGGTAAGCAGTATGTAAAGCGTTGAAGGGAGCTTAGAAAGAGGGCACATGGGAGAACGTACACTGTTGACTTTCGGGTTTCATCAAGCAGAAACCGATAGGCTGTGTTGCGATTACTAAGCATCGCGGCTTTATCCCTCGGCCACCCTACCGCTACGTGACTTCTTAAAGCTCAGATGTCCAACCCCCACTTCGTACTAAAATAGATAATGGAATGTAAGCTTTCGGCTTGCCCGAGAGCTTAGACAAGAGTTGCGCTGACTTCCTTCCATTCCACGTGCACGATTACGAGTTGTGGCTTCTGAATCGTGCTCCACACGCAACATTGCGAGAATAATTACCTCTTCGGTCTATTCACGGCTCTCGGAGGTCGCTGCAGACCATGTGCGTCTAGAACTCGGACGACCGGAGCTTCTCCATTCCATCAGCTCACTTAGACTAAAGTTGCAGCGACATGAGAAAAGGTTTCATGCATCGTCGGCGGGCCTTGTCGCCCAGCGAGAAACATGCTTCCGGTTCCATACTGAGCATCGTGGCTTTCCATAGCTTCGCGCGGTTTCAACTTCCATGTGGTACTACAAGGCAAGTATATGAAGGTTCTGTAGACTCATCCTTTGGGATAACGTTTTTGGGTTCTCTTGACTATCCGTTACGCAAAACAATGAATCAAACAGAAGGAGAGTCAAACTCATCGGCCGCGACGAAACTTGTCGCAAGACTCTTTCGTTTCGGTAATTTGAATGATATAATGAACTATGCAATCGACATCGCAACAAGCACCGGTTATCGAGAAGTTCGCGACGAAAGACAATCCCATCATTCCCAGCAACCTTGTATGTTCTTTGTCTCTTACGTTCAATCAATCTCCTTTTCCTTTTCGCACTTGACATTCGAAGCTGGGCAGGATTTTATGCTGATTTTCGAGGGGAAAAAAGTGGGCAAAGCGATTATCGCCTTATTGTTCCCTTTCCTGTTGCAACTATTGCAGAAATACTTGATGAAATCCACCAGGACCGCAGCAGACGTAAAACAGAACAGAAGAGAGATCATGGTATCTCCAGCAAACGCATCGTTTCCCGATAGATCTATCGAGAAGGACGACAACGACTGCAATGAGGATGATGAACAGTCCTCAGCAACTGTAACAGACTCTGAACATACCGATTTAGAATTCCCTCAAAGCAAAAAGCAACATGATGCAGATGCCGGATATGTGGGCGCTGCTAGGGAAAATCTGTGTCAGAGTGTCTCGGACTCTGACAACAACGATCATGCCGAAGCTCAAGATGGCAATGGCCCAATCTGTGGAAACACAGAGCGGACAGAGATTGGAGAAAATGCCATCTATAATGCAACATCTCGCAACGAAGATAACCACCTGCGTGCTAAGAAAACACCCGACCCCTACGTACCACCAACCGCCTCCTCTACGGACATGCCGACTGCACAAGGAGACGAACATGACAGCGATCAAAACAACATGACCAGGGTCTCCGTCAAGCCCCTACCATCAATGCAACAGGGCAATGCCGCTACGATTCCTAACAGCAGAAGGACCCGAAAGTTGAAATCGCGACAGCTCGCTCCCACAGCGGGTCTCCAGACATTGGAGGAAGAAGACAAACAAGAAAGAAGCGTTTTTCACCCGCCAGAAATCGTTCCAAGAGGATCTGCAGGTGAAAAGAAGCATCAACCCACCAAATCGCCAGAACTTTCCCAAGTCCGTCGTCCAAGAGCGCAGCTACAGGGAATAGCAATATTTAGTAAGAAGGTAAAGGATTTCCTAATTCCAGCCTGTGTTGCCGGACTCAGTTTTGTAATCTTGCAAAGCCCAGCGTACCTTCGATCCCAAAGCATCACACTCGAGCAAGAATGCCACGCTCTTCCCATATACGCTTTGATCGGCAAGACAGGCGTAGGGAAAAGCAGTTTCATAGAAGCACTAAGTGGAAAAGACAGTCACGGGCACGAAGCTGTGGTGTGTCACGGCATGGATTCATGTAAGTCTCATTCATGTTCAGCACTTTTCAAGTGTTCACACACGATACTAAACCAAACATCCATACAGGCACGGGTACGATTGACTACTTTAAAGTAAACCTTAACGGCCAAGCTAGTTGTATCCTCGATACACCGGGCTTCGATGACAATCGCCCTAATATGACCGACGAAGAAATCATGCGCCAGATCTTCTACAAACTCTCCAATACATTTGATGGAACCAAATTGATAAAGGGTCTGATATACATGCACGACATCAGCCAGACACGAATTGGTGGCCTAGCCTCGCGAGTAAGTAGTTCTTACACAGTACAACCCAAGTGGAGAAGAATACTTACATGAGCAACAAGCATTTCCAGCTATTTGAGAAGCTATGCGGACACCAGAATTATGGACAGGTTGTGCTGGCCACGACGAAATGGCTGAGGTCACCGAGCTGGGATGAAGAGCAAAGAGAGTTGCAGCGCGAGAGCGAGCTTCGCAACAGGTACTGGAAAAACATGATAGATCTTGGGTCGCATGTCGAGCGCTGGGATGGCACGGAAGCAAGCGCCCGGGGCATCTTGAGTATACTGAAGAAAAAACCTAGCTTAGTAAGGATACCAGAGAGGGAGAGAGTGATTGAGCATAAGACAAAAGGATGGTTCTAGCGCTGAAGTTGTTTTTTTATATAGGTTACTACAGGCCGGAGAAGAAGAAATTTAGCTAGTCTATTCGTAGAGCGTGTTTAGTCTAAGGTTTCAAAAACAGTCTACTATACTTCTATCTAAGCCATTATTACTTATCTAAGTACTATCTAGCGTATAGATAGAAAGTGTCACGGTTCAACACCAAGACACTACGCGTGACCCTGTCCCCTGGCCACGGGCCAGGAAGCGACCCTGTCCGACGACGGCCGGCCACTTGATTACCGACTAATGGAATGTTGCTGTCACGTGACAGCCGCCAAGGCTGGCCGGGAGCCTTCCCAGCAAGCTTCCTACTAAGCTGAGTGCCCCCAAAGCTGCGCACCCCTCAAAGCTGCGCGTTTCGCGATTTCGCGCTCTATCAATACAACCACTTCCTTCTCAATTCACGTGATAAACACTACACCGATATGGCTCAACGCGAGCAGCAGATCCAATTAGCCCTTGAAGACTTTCGCACAGGTGGCTGTACATCAATCCGAGCTGCAGGGACTGCGTACGGCATCCCAGAATCCACGTTGCGCGCGCGACTCAATGGAACACCAAACCAACGTACCGCCCACCAACATCGCAAGAGGCTCTCAGTTCTACAAGAGAAGTTCCTTGTTGACTGGATCCTCGAACAAGAATCACAAGGCCTTCCCCCCTCGCACGCTCGTACTCGAGAGATGGCTACTCAAATTATCCGTATGAATGGCGATACTAAAGAGCTTGGGAAAAGGTTCATTCCAAAGTTGATTCGAGACAATCCACGCATTGCCTCAGTTATAGGAAGGCCTATTGAACAAGCTCGGATCAATGGTACAAATCCTGAGGCAATACAAGAGTTCTATACTCTATACGAACGTATCGTTCGCGAATTCAACATTCAGCCCTGCAACATGTGAAATATGGATGAACATGGCATTGCCTTAGGGGTATGTGCTAACTCATACGTTCTTGGATCATCAGAAAATAAGCGCTCATACGTTAAATCACCAGAATCGCGCGAATGGGTGTCAATTATCGAGGTTGTGTCCCAAATCGGTGGGATTATCCGGCCTCTTGTAATATTCAAGGGTATAGCACCGCAAACTACACATTCCCCGGATGACACACCTGACTGGCGCTATACAAGCTCTGCTAATGGCTGGACTACTAATGCTAAAGGATTATCATAGCTTAGAACCATGTTTGGCCCAGAAACAAGGCCTCAAAATGACGCCTGGCGGCTCCTAATTATGGATGGCCATGGTAGCCATACAGCCATAAAATTCCTATGGCATTGTAAGCAAAACAAGATACATCCCTTATTCCTACCGGCTCATACAAGCCATGTATTACAACCTTTAGATCTCGGAGTTTTTGCGCCTCTAAAATCAAGATACCGGGCTGAAATCGCAGCTTTGGCTTCGCTCGACGATGCATCACCTGTCAAGAAGGAACGCTTTATCACCTGCTATAATTCAGCTCGCAAAGAGACATTTACACCCTGCCTATTGCGTGTAGGGTGGCAGGCAGCGGGTCTCTATCCATACAATCCAGCAAAAGGGCTCAATTCCTCCCAAGTACAAGGCTCAAAACCACGTCAAGTTACACCACCACAACGTCAAGAATCACCTCCAATTTTTGGCACACCAAAGAGCCCACAACATATACATACCACAACTCAATCAATTCGCAAAAGACAAGGCGAGAAACAGGCCCTATATCAATGCTTACATAAGGCTGGCCAAGCGATTGATCAACTTAACGCAAAGCAGATCCCATTGCAACACCGCAACGCTCAACTTCAGGCTCAAATCGAAGGACTAGCTATCAAGAGGCGCAAGAAGGTCCCTATTGATCCTAATTTACAATTTGCGACCGTGGAAACTGTCATAAAGGCAAGGGAGGCTCTCGCGGCACAAGAGGCACAAGAGGCAGCACGTCAAACCAGATACGACGCAGCTACAGCTGCGCGTGAGCTCGCTAATCAGAGCTTCGAATCGCTCCAATTTGAGTGGCAGATAGACAACTTTTGATACGTATACAGATCAATTTATTAAGGCCTCAAAGCTGCGCAGCTGCGCAGCTTTGGGGGGTGCGCAGCTTTGGGGGTACTCAGCTTACCTCTTTATTTCCTTGTCTACGTCTTGTCATATAGCTTGGGCCCGTATCTACGTATTGATTGTTATTTCCGACTGCGCTCCCTGACATACCTCTTTATTTCCTTGTCTACGTCTCGTCGTATAGCTTAAACCTGTATCCACGTATTGATTGTTATTCCCGACTGCGCTCCCTGACATCAGCCTAAGTTAACAATACCCTGATTAGAGCTAAATAGATAAATAATATTAACTAGTTCAAAAAATACTTTAGAGAGATCTATAAGATTAAAGACCTAGAAGAAGTAAGTAAGATCCTTAGGGTTCAAGTTAATTACTCTAGATTAGTTCTACTATACTAGGGATCTTTTGTTGAAATATAGAATAGATAGAGAATAGACTAATATAATTAGTATCCTACTAAATAGCGACAATTTACATACCTTCGGAACACATCGGCTAAAGCACCCCGTTAACATACGATGGTACATAAGACAGCTAGCTAACAAAATATACTTATATAGTCTACGTAGAGCAGAGCAAACCATCTCTTATTAAGTTACAACTAGAAAATCATACCAATTCAATCCCTACTAACACCAAAGAGGAACCCACGCGGTACAAAGGAGCCAAGGTATGACCACATTGTCTTGGTAGCATACTTACATAACATGGCCACATCACTCTTTTGCTATTTGTATCTATGGTCAGCGTCCTGCTACCTTTACAACAAGATTATATGGCGGAACTTACCCTGCTGGAAACGGTGCTTCTGCACAATGATCCTTAACCCGGCTGCAAGCTTAGTGGTGTTGAAAGTGTCGTTTATGCTGAAGGTTCCCAGTAAACCGTCGACATCTACATGTACCTTTGCTTGTCGGTCTCCTTCTTGGTAATAGTTGCAAGCGCTGCGGATATCGTCCTGATCGATCTTTCCTTCATCGGAATACCAATGCGCACGTTCCATGATGAGTATAAGGTCAGCAATGGTTCTTAAGAGCATCCTGCCCCATTGTGGAGCTGTCAATACATTGACAGCTGCTCGGGTACCCCACACGATCGGAATCGCCCATGGCAACGTAAAGGATAATGCTCCGAGAACCACACCGTTGGTCAACAACTCTCCACCTATCATGCCACCTAGAAGAGCTCTTTTGTTCGTCAGGCAGGTTGTCAACGTCTCCCATCCAAGATCAAGACTCGTTCCGGAGAAACCGAAAGTACCAACAATCTCCTTGCCTATGAGGCCTCCAACGGTAGCTGTACTCACGAGCCCACCTACAGTGCCTATCACCGGTATGGGAGCAGCGGCAGTCCTCACCGCATGCTTGTATAGTTCTAAGCTTTTTTTGATGGCATCATCGATCTTGGGATCGATCGAGCAGATCTGTGCCTTGATCAAGTGTGATCGTACGCACTCGTTGTCTATACTGCCTAGGGTTCGTTCCATCAAAGCACTGATACTTGTTTCATCGTCTGCATGTAGATGTTAGTACGTTGGAATTGATAGCAGCGGACTTGGATATGTCGTACCTGCGTCGGTGAACACGAGCCCGGAAAGCCTTGGATAGGTCTGTTGGAAATTCGTGCGAGTCTCCTCCTTGAATTGCTCGACTGCATCGTCTTTTAGCTCTCGAATTCTGTCCCAATCTGAGCTTTTGAGGGCACGTTCTTTGGTGCCATGCTTTTTTATGTATGCCCTTTTGCATTCGGCTTCTATTTGAGTCTCATACCTGTCAAGGCGTGTAGAGACCAGCACTACCGGAACATTGCTGTCGTGTGTTTCAAGTAAGGCAAACAACTTCTTATCTGCATCCTGGAGGGTTCTGTTCCTCAAGCTGTCGATGCAATACCTTTTCAACGTCAGTGAAAAACGAAGTAGTTGAGCAATATTGATACGAGCACAAACCATATAGCATGAAGGCGTTGAGATATGTCTGAGACCGTGGTACGGCCCTTAATGAATTCTATGAGATCATCAATGTCTTTTTCATTTCCCGATTGGAATCCACAGGAGTCGTGTATGATGTAGTGTGCGCCCTCTGCAGTCAGTCCTACATTGACGTCGTGTACGCCGTGCTCAGTTTTACTCGTCGGGGTCTGTAATTTGTCAACAAAGCTGCCGTCAAGTGTAGATTGGATCTTGCTTACCAAATCCTCGGCACCAAAGACTTTGTTTATCAGTGTCGACTTTCCTATTCCGGCTTCGCCACAGATCAAGATCCGAACCGCTTTCAATCTGCCATCGATATCTTCACTCGGGAGTGTCCAGAACATTTCTCCCTCTGTCCACCGAATCTTGTCTTTGTGGGAAAGAAGGTGGCGTTTAAAGTTCCAGCCCTCTGAGTTTACACTGATTGGGACTTCAAGCTCGAAAATCATGTATACCGAGGGATGTACAAAGGTTCCAAACGGTTCTGTAGAAGGCGTTAGTCAAGAGAGCGGAAACCCTTCAGCAATGCAGAAATACCATCTTCGTGATAGCCGATAAGCTCCCCGTATTCAAAAATGACACGGTCCTTCATAGTGTAGAGGAGTCGATTGCCCAATCCACTTGGGAGCTTGATACGATAACCTGCATTCGAAGCATGCACCCTTCGCATGTCCCATAACTTGGTGACGATGCCGTTGGAATGTGTCATGAAGAAAGGACCTGTATTGGTGGAAGTTAAGCTCTGGCCCGAGTAAGTTGGAAACACGAGCTCCTTCGTGTCCTCAAAGCAGCGTTCGTTCCCGTCCTGATCATGATAAGGGGCCGGGATATATCCACCAAGTATTAAGCCACAGTCGTGAGCTTGTGATAACATCCACTGTAGTGGGTACAGCGATAGACCATCTTCCTTGTTAGAACCGCCTATCTCGGAGTGCCTTCCTAGAAACCATGCTTGCAACATGGTACGAGTGCCTTCTTGAAAATCCGTAGCTTCTTTCGGCCCAACAGTCCAAACATCTGGGCTGAAGGCAGTTCGACGTTCATTCAAGGCCAGAGCCTGTCGAGCGTGAATGATAGAACTATTGAGCTTGATGTCATAGAGGTCATGATCGTCAAATGCCTTGACAGTGTCGAAGACACCTACAAACTTGATGATCGGTGGCTCGCGACAATTTTTTGTCAGATTGAAGATCGAGTTCTGCCTTTGTTGGCTTCCACATTTCTTGTCTTGATACAGAGCAAGGCATTGAGAGAAATGACGCTCGAACTCCGCGGAGCTAAGTGACATTTTCGGTATCTTCATCCAATGGAGCAGACCTGCAACAGCCCGCACGGTGTAGGCTCCACGACTGAAACCAAAAAGGAACAACTCGTCATGCCTTTCGAGATTGTGCTCACAGATGAGCTGGTAAGTATCTTTGATCTGAGCTTCGAGACCATGTCCGAACGCACCGCTTAGCTTCTTATGGAGCCACCATGAGTTGTTTAGCCCGGGCCGATATACAACTTTTTGTGTCCATTCCCCGTCGTCGAGAATGCCTTCGCGAACGATTGTGGAGACTCGAAAGACATTGGTACTGTTGCCTTCGTAGCCAGTATCAGTACCATCAGGATCACAATATGTCCCATCGATACAAATGATCAGTCGAGTCTTTCGCTTTTTTCCAGACTGCTCTCCTAGTTGGAGTGTCTCTCCGGCAGCACATGGTTGATCGTACGGCGGTGGAGGACGTTCAAAGCTGAAAATGTACATGTCATTGAAGGTCGAATTCCGCATGGAGCAAGACTGCTTACCTTTCAGTTTCTGCCTGAGTTCCTGGGAATACGGTGTTCGTGCTGGTTGTTGGCTTTGCTATCTCTGGCTTATAGCCTCGTACCGGCAACGAAGCGAGGGTTTCGATTTCCATGGGCATATTGACTCAAGTGAATTATCAAGTGAATGAATTCAGATGTGAGATGTTCTGGTAGGTGCATGGCCACAATCAACATAGATCTGAGTCCTTATATAAGAAGTACCAGGACCAAGCTGAGGTACAAGTGCACACAACCGTCACAAGGTTGCTCACACAGCACTTTTGGTGAAAGGTATAACTATCCCGCGATAGTCTTGTCCGTCTGAGGATCAAGCAGCGAGCTGCATGCAAACGATAATATCAGGTTTCAGGGCATTTGGCTAGCGGCATTGGGCTTAGCTAGTCCCCCGGATGTGGCTTTCAAGTTTCGAGCGGCTAAATTACAGATGTGACCTGAATGCCGAGCCAGGACAGTCAGTATTCGAAGTTCACCGTACTAAAGCTTAACTGCTGAACACGACCTCACCTGTCCTATTTTGGCCGTCTCGCGGAGCTTGCTCCAAAGCTGTGTGCCTGCTTATCACGCCCCAAACTTGAGTATGGGGTATGGGTCTGAAGCGGCTTCTGACTCGAAGCACTCTGCTTTTACAGCTCGCTACCAGGATATGATCCCATAGACCTACATGCATACCACAAACTCTGATAGGACGATGCATACACGTTGATATTTCTACCGAACGCTGAATGATGGTGGCGCGCGCTCAGCTGGAATTGCGGGTACGATATCATGTGGATCTCTGTACCAGTACACGGCTAACGCTAGCCTCAATACTGAGGGGTTCGCTCACGACTCCTCGTGCTAGCACGATTTACTGTGCATAAGCCACGTCTCGCGGTCCGCGGAGTGAAGTGGGCGCAACAGCTCAGACGTCTCGAGCGGCATGAGATCGAAGCCTTTTGCTTTCTGTGTTGTTTGAATGCAAGGTGAGGCTGACGGTCTTTGAGTCAACTAGCTCTGTAAGATTGGCTAGCGCTATGGAACCCGGCTGACGTGGCGCTGGAGTCGTGAACACAGCCAATGAAATTGAGTAGATATGCTTAGTCATCATAGCTCCCTCCTTCGCCCGCCCGTTCGTCGCGGGGATGTCAACCCGCGTGTCAACAATGGGCATTCTTCTCTCTCAGCTTATTCTGGTGCTTCACGTACTGCCTGCCCTCGTCTGCTCGTCGCCAGCGTGAGGAAACAGCAGCTCTCTCGACGCTACGATGTCTACCCGGTATTCTCAAAATTCGTCAGACTTGCAAATTTGTCACCCGTCGCAAGACAATGCATGGGGCTTGTAGCTTGCATACAACTTGACAGCCACCTCGACACACTACGGAACCGCCGAACATCGCTAGATACTAACAGAACGTGGCTTGCGTGGTATGCATCTCGGTACTGACATGGTCACATGCCAAATCGCGCTGAAAGCTCTGATCCGTTTGACCTGCCGCCTGATTGACCTCGAAAATTCATCTTTTGCAAAGCTACACACTCTACGAAACGACGACCTGACTGGAATATGTTGAGGTTGGTTCTGCTTCGAGATCAATCACTAATACTCCCATCCTTCCAATGCCTCCATATCTTGATCACGCCAATGCTCGGTCTGGGAAGAACGATCCCTCGTCTCCTGTCGGCGATATAGTACCCTCACCTCCATGATTGATTGATTGACTGATTCATTTGATCAGGCTACTTGGTTCTACGGCAAACCTATCAGCCGTCTCCTACTGGTTCTACCTTCTATGTCCCTTTCTGTCCTTGTTCGATTCTAGCTTCCCCTTACTCAGCTTCTTTTGTCTGCCACGTAAACCTGCCCGTCTTACAAAGGAAGCGAAGAACCGCCTTTACCGCTGGAAGGTCCGCTTTCCCCCTTCACGAATTCTGTACCCTTCGCGATCTTAAGTTATAGGCCTATGTTATAGAGTCTTAAAGATCAACGATGGACTTAGTTGAAATATGTTGACACGGTACAATCCTCCGTGGTAGTTACCCGTGGTTCCAATCAACCCCGCTTATAGTTAGAACATTGCCTATAATAGTTAATCCCCGCATACCAAGATCTAAATGATAATCATTTATCAATCATTAGCCACGCTGTCCACATCCCGCTATGTCGGACATTTTCATCCGGTATAGGTTACTCCGCAACCGGGAGTGTCCTATTCGGCATTAGGATAGTATCGAAGCTTCTGCGGCTGTTAGTGCGTTATACACGGCCGTTATGTATGGGCCTAGAAGGGCCCTATCTAGCTGCTATATGTATACTCCTATGTGTTGTGTGCCTAGTGGTCTCGACGTCCTGCCTTCCTTCCAGATCTTGTCGAGTTGTAATTGAAATGTTTACTTAGTCACCCTTAAGACCATTTTGTTTGTAGGTACCGCAAAGCGTTGATGATATCTCTGCGTCTTCGAGATGTCGTAGTTAGGTGGGTTAAGGCAGTCAAGGGGACTGGGCCGACTAGCTAGGTTAGGCAGGTTGTGGAGAGACTCCTTCTCGATGGCCCCCTTTGCCCCCTGGTCCTGAAGAGCCGTAATGTGCTTGCGAATGTATCGGATCACATACTGTCCATGTGGGTTTGTTCCTTCTACGATGTAGCGTATGGCTCGCTCGCTATCAGTTGCTATGATTGTCGTCCTTGGGAGTGGCCTCCTCTCGGCTTGGTATGATAAGGCCGCTTCGATGGCGATGAGTTCTGCGACCGTCGAGTCGCCTACTGACCATCCGGGTAGTTTTCTTTGGGTAATGGTCTTCCAACTCTCTCCTTGAACTACAGCGATGCCGGCCTTTCCGTTCTTACAGGCTGCATCCGTATATAAGGTACACTCCTCCTCCCATGGTCCTCTAGACCGTAATCGCCGGAGGACTACTTCTTCTTCGTCGTCTAAGCCCTCCGTCGAGCACCCTAGGATGCCCTCCGTCCACGGTTCCTGAAGGACAGGCTCCACTGTTTCCATGAGGCTGTCGGCTGTAAAGCCTATGGATGGGCCGAATTTCTTCGCCGTGACGGCTAGTGGGGAAGGAAAGCTCTTTCCTTGGGTGTGTAGTCTTGTCATACATCCGAACAGAGGGTTCGTGTTCGGGACCGTGAGACTCCTGACTAGGTGGTTTGCTACCTTCCTCTGCAGCCGGGCGGCTGTGCTCTCGATACCCGCCTCGGCTTGGGCTACCGTGAGGGCGGTAGCCCTAAAGGAGAGTATTATCGCCTGGGCTCCAATGCGCTGCACCTTTTCCATGTTGCGGAGCAGCGAAAGGGTGCCCCGATCACCGTGGTGGGGTACGGAAACGTGAATCCCAAACGATGGCTTCTGTGTGCCACGATCACCAGTTGAAGCCCCGGATGGTTTTCCCCGTATAGTATGCTGCCTCGCTAGAGCCGCGTCGCTCTATCTCCCTTCAATCCAGATACCATGTATCTCATATCTCGCACTTCGGAAAGTCACGCTAAATCATCAAAACCAGTATCTTCTGGCTTTATCCTTCCAGGCTATTACAAGAGTTGACACCACGCTTTGTACAGACAAAGATCTAAAGTTCCTTGAGGCTATAGTTTTCACAGCTTAAAAGGAGCTTGGAGAGGTCCGAGTTCTGCTCAGAAATCATCAAAAGCAGAGTATCGTACATCGACGAAGCACAATGAGACGCGGACGAGCTGGGGAGCAGATCAACTGATGCTACAAATGAACAGTTTCCAGCAATTCAGATTCTTGACTGCCACACCTCAGACCAGAGTCATCTACCGAGAGTGGGTCGTGCATGGACTTGAGAATGTCGAAGTGTATGCTGTGTATTCCCGCCACTCGCGCTGCAAGTCAACATGTATATTTGATTTCTGCTGCATGTCAACCGCATCCGTGCCACTCTACTAGCGTCGCTCCCTAGATTGTTTTATGACTTGTTTCCAGGTGCGTCCCATACGCTACAAACGGCACCACCGATTGGTTACACCTATCGTTAGCTGTACATCTTGATTAAGATCATCATCTAAGAAAGAGACGAAGGTCTTTTTTGAGCCCAGATCCGCGATTCCACGCACACGCTAAATTTCAATTATCCGATAGTGAAGGCTGTCCTATCGCCTGTCAAACATCTCGTTTGCTACAAAGTCGAACGACCTTCACAAGTATTCTAGATTCCTTCTCACAGCTTTCCTTGCACTCACCAGTGACTTCATCTTACCATGGGTGCGAGTGGGACGATTACCGACATTCCGATGTCTGGTTGTGGAGAAACAAAGGTCGATGACCCAGCAGCATCCGAATCATTTCCTATCACTGAAGCAGCTCTGGTTCGAAAGATCGACTGGCGAATCGTTCCTACCCTTTTCCTTGCATATTTTCTTCAATTTCTGGACAAAGTGGCTATCAACGTGGGATATACTGAATCTGCAATGTTACAAGACCGAGCTGATCACTACTCGACATAGTACGCAAATGTCATGGGTCTGCAGAAAGACCTCCATATGCAGGGTCAAGCCTTCTCGTAGACGGCAACAGCATTCTTCATCGGCTACGTCGTTGCTGAATGGCCGCAAGGTAAGAACGTCGCTCCCCTGTGCACCGTCAGGGGCTGATGACACCTATACAGGAGTACTTCTCCGGCATTTCCCTATATCAAAGGTTCTTGGATGCAATATCTTTGCTTGGGGCATAACCCTATGCTGCTCGGCTGCATGCCATGACACGCCTTCAATCATAGCCGTCCGTACCCTGTTAGGTGTGTGCGAAGCAGTCATCGCACCAGCTTTGATTGTTTTCACCTCACGATGGTACACCAAGACAGAAGCCCCGCTCCGATATGGCATCTGGTATTGTGGCTTGGGAGCTGGTCAGATCGTTGGTGGTCTCATCAGCTTCGGTGCGCAGCATAGTTCGTCTGTATTTACAGGCTGGCGAGTGATGTTCATCTGCATAGGAGTATTTAACATTCTGGTAGCGTTACTGATTCTTTTCACTCTGCCTGGTGAGTCACTATCTGCCACTGAATGACGATCATATTTCTTACGAGCCTAGATAATCCGGGAGAAGCGCAGTTCTTGGGTCAAAACGAGAAAGAACTGCTTGAGGAACGACTGGGTTGGGACGAGTCAAGACCCAAGCCGGAAGAGCTCGGTCTGCATTTACTCAGAGAGTTGCTTCTGGATCCACAAACATGGCTTTTGGTTTTGCTGACTCTTTGCATAACGATTCCGAGCGGAGTGATTACCACCTTCTCCGCTACTTTGATCCACAGCTTTGGGTATAACTCGAAGCAAAGCGCGCTTCTGAACGTGAAGTGAGAGCGTACTGACGATTTCTGGTTCGCCATCCAATCCAATAAAGCAGTATCAGGTTGTCGTAAGCAGCAGAGTCGTTTATGAGATGTGTCAGCATTGGAAATTGGAGCGAGATGGTCGCGCTGGTCCGCAACGAGTCATTTCACCAGCTTTTACTTGAGCCACTTGCTGTGCCGTAAAAGACTAGTTTTTTTTTATCACAGAAAGCACGGCACAGCTTTTCATACAGACATCTTGATGTATTCAAGGCTCGAAGTCAGCGCTATGACAGTCTATACCTCCGACGATCTCACCCTAGATCAGGGTCGGTGAGCCGAGCGAGAACCAGTGGTCCGGCCCGGCCGCTCGACTAGCGAGCGTCCTAAAATCCCAAGCCCGCTGTAAGAGCAGCCATGTCCAGACCGCGTTGCGTTGAGTGGCTCTACCACCATAAGACCCTGTATCGGCGACCTGATCTTGATGTGACGATGACGGCTTGATGGAGGCGCATGCGCATGCGCATGCTGTTGAGCCCTAGCCAAGAGCAGTTTGTATAATGGGTCGACTGTTCGTCTGCCATTAGCATTCCGTGGACCACTACAAGCAACAGTCAACTGTCCATCAGTAGACTGTAGACCTTCGGAAATCAGTTCTCTACAATGGTTCAAGTCGTTATAGTCGGTGCGGGGATTGTCGGATTGACCCTGGGACAGGCGCTGGAATCGGTACGTCTGATGTGTCACCCTCCGCAGTCTTAATCGCGAAACGACCGTTGACCGCTTGACAGCAAAACATTCCCTTCATCATTCTGGAACGAGACGCTTCCGCAGATGATCGTGGACAAGGATGGGCAATTACGCTGCACTGGGCTTTGCCGCTTCTTAGGAAGATGCTGCCTCAGGAACTGATGGACCGGATCAAGAGATGCCGGGTCAGCTCACAAGCTGCAGGAGATGATGCTGAGAGTTTCAAGCTGATCAACCTGAAAGATTGCAGCGAGATCCAAAATACTCCCGTAGAGGAAAGATGGCGCGTAAATCGAGGCAAATTACGCCTGGCGCTTCCAGAGGGCGTGGATGATAATATCCAGTGGGATCAGCATGTTGTGAACATTGAGTACCACGGAGATCTTGTCAAAGTCCACTGCTCAGACGGAGGAGTCCATATCGCCGATTTTGCTATCGGCGCTGATGGTAGCGGGTCTGCCATCAGAAAATTTTTGTGCCCTGAGAAGCATGCAGTAACTCCATTACCATACCGGATGCTTGGGGTCGGAACCAAACTCACCAAGGAACAGGTCGCCCCCCTTCGTTCCATCGACCAACTTCTTTTTCAAGGGTGCGAACCAGGTACAGGCAACTTTCTATACTGCTCGCTCCTTGAGCCGCCCACGAGAGAGACTTCTTCCTGCACTGTTCAATTCAACATAAGCTGGCCAAAGTCTCCAAAACAAGAGGAAGTGTTCTCTGACAATGCTTCAAGATTGCTAGCCTTGAAAGCCCGCGCTCAAGGATTCGCCCCTTGCCTGAGAAACGCCATTGAGGGCATCCCTGAGGAAACGCCAGTCTCGGAGGTAGTCTTGGCAGACTGAAAAACTCCCCATTGGAACAGGTCCGGACGTGTGACCCTGATTGGAGACGCCGCTCATCCGATGGTTATGTGTAAGAAGCACTTTTGAATCAAGTTATCAGGAGACTAACAACATTTAGACCGGGGTGAAGCTGGAAACTTTGGGATGTGGGACGTGTACAAGCTTTCGGAAAAACTCAAGCGTGTGAATGGAGGCAAGGACGAAATTCCAAACGCCATACAGAAATTTGAGGAGGAGATGATGGAACGAGCCGCGGTCACGATTCTAGACAGCAGGCGAGCATGTGAAGACGCTCACAACTGGCCAGTGGACCGAAGCAGCCCGCTGGTGACAGAGAGAAAGATGCCACAGCAATACTTATGATCGTGCTCTTTCGTAAGGGGCGCAGGTAGACTGGGACCGTTGTCATATAAGTAGTGATTGTTACATAAGCCATGCCCGAATCTCTTCACAGGATCAACTCGAATCATATATGTTGGAACTTGACCTGCTAATTGTCAATACATAACCATCTGCTTCGGTTTCTCTTGCTGCTGATGACAGCTGCTGGATTCTCCTGATATATGACGTTCTGCACCCCATAGATGTTGTAGGCACTCTGCAGCTTGAGGGACGCTACGCACGGTGAGCGACGCTCTTACCACCAGTTGTTCCTTTGAGGCAGTCTACGCTGGAGAATTTAAAACATCTGTTCACGATGTTCTCCACGTCAGGCGTTGTAACGAGCTCTCTAGGTTGACCACGTACAGAACCGATGGACTCGATTTGCACCAGCAATATTCTTTGAGTGGAGCGCTACGTGTGCACGTGAGGTCGTTGATTCATCCAGAACCACACCTGGCTGGAAACCGTTGAGCACTTGACGCTAAGCTTGTTCGAGGTATATCATACCACAGAACATAAAGTGGAGGATATCGTAATCATACGTAAATTGCCAACCCGCAGCCACTTAAATACGCATCATTCATCATCATCTAACAGAGCACGTTGGTAATCGTTTCGGGCGCTCGAGAAAAGATTTCCACGTGAACCACAAGACAGCACACGAGAAACCCCGGATGGGAATTCTTGACATGTGATGCAGTCCAATCATGGTACTCTTCCTTCGCCCCTTCGTCCGGATTCTGGCTTCATACAAATCATAATTTACCGCATTGACCCTTCGCCCCGTTGCGGCCAAACTACCGGCGAGACGGTTCCGACCAGAGAACCGTAGATTCACAGGCAAAGAGAAGTCGTGTTCTCATCACTCTTTTCAATCTCGTCAATCCAAATGGTTTCTGTTTCGAAATCATATCATCTGCTTCGAGGAACAGGCCACAACCATGATAGGCTGTAAGAAAGAGATCGCTGACCATCTGGACAGTCGACTCAGCTAGGTTTTGGCGTGATGCGAGTTGAGCCGCACAGGCTATGCGCGAGCATCACGGCTCGGTTGCAAGCCACTTTAGCAGTGTTCTCAATAACCTCCTGATCGCGCTATAGAATGCAGCTATCAGCTTGCCTATTCCCGTGTGCTCGGTAAGCTTGTATACATATTCATATATGCAGGCCACTGATGAAGATCCTGCTTGTAAAGATCGTAGGCGCCGTCGGATGTACATGGCCGGCCATACTGCAGAGCGCCACATTTCACTAGGAGCGAAATGCTGTTTGGAGACAATGACAACACGAGAATAAAGTCTAGAAACAGTGTTCTCCATGCACGAGCCTGTATTCAGCCCTCGCATAAAGACCGGGCATGTACCTGTCCTTTGCAACTTCTATCGCCCCAATTACATTCTTTTTCAGTCCCGAGAACTCCCAACATGCGGTGGGTTCACAACGCCTCCGCGCAAGTCGACCGGGATAGCAAGTATCCGATGTTCATTTGCGTCTGCGTTATCATGAATTCCACGATGATTGCTGCCGTATCTCTCAGAGCTTACATTCGAATAAGATCTGGCCGTATCGGATGGGATGATTGGTTCACTTTCGTGGCAGCTGTCCGTCTGACGATTCTGGATACTTTCTACCATGTACTGACACGTATAGGGTCTTACTGTTGTCTACACAGCGGATGCTCTATATCAGACGCGTCTTGGGCTGGGATTACCACTTGCGCTGCGCCCTCCCGATGATCTTCATGTTTTCACACTGGTAGTTGTTCCTATCTTTCTCTTGGGAAGTCTGCTGACCTGGGTCCACTAGCTTAACTACGCAGGTCGGCCTATATACATCGCGGCCTTAGCGGCCTTTAAGGTTGCCGCCTGCTATGGAGCTCTGAGAGTGATCAAGGGCACAAACAGGAGGGCCTTACGGATTGTGATCAAACGGTTTAGAGATTTCATCGTCGTAAGTCATGTGGCGATCGTCCTGGCCTTGATGTTGTACTGTCGACCTGTGAGAAAAGCCTGGAGCCCTCACGTCCAAGGGAAATGTCTGTCTCCCGGTCCGCTCTTCTATGAACCGCGGCCGTAACAATCCTCTGCGACTTGATTGCATTCTCTCTGCCATTGACTGTGCTTTACCCTTTGCAAAGCGTAAATCGCGACAAAGCACGCCTGGTTGTTTTTCTATTCTTCGGGTTTCTTACAACCATCTGCTCTATCATACGCATGACCGAGGTCCGCACGGTTGTGGTGAACGGAGACTCTACCAACTTGATACTGTGGGGAGTGATCGAGGCCTGCGTGGGGGTACCGCAACCCATCCTTCTGAGCCCGAGATTATACCGCTAACACAACCTCACAGGTCATAATGTCGTCCATACCAACATTGAATGGGATGAATTCGGCCCTAGGGAAGACGGACATCACTCCTTCTAATACGGACTACGGTACGGATTCATATCGCGAGCTTCCAAACGCTGGCATTGAGCTTGATGAATTAAGCAAGCTCAGTCGGATCATGCGTACGAGGGAATACGTGATCGAAAAGTCGAAGAAGCAGGGTGACCCTGAGAATACTCCAACGGCACCTACATCATGGTAATCAGTGGGATATCTCGAGTCTTAGGGTCACGATGGGAAGGCTCCGAGAAATGCAAACCATCTAGTCAGTTCGCAAGTATGCCAGCAGGTGAGACAAGTGGTCAACCAGCCATCACAAACCCACGTCCTCTTAGGTTTCGTCCGTTGAGATGGCAGAGACTGATCGCTCGATCATGATTGCTTCTAGTCTTCGGGAGATCGTGTCAATCAAGCGTTCCGCACTTCTCCTTCCCATAATCCTGTGTACCCCACGTAGATTCGACCATATACCTATCAAAATTGGTGACGATACCTCGTGTCGCGAAGGCATCAGTGCTTAGTGACGTGTACATGCCGGGTACTAGCCGAGAAGGTAACGGAATCTCCTGTGGCAGACGATGATGGCACGTAAGAGAGCGCATGGGACCTTGACAAATATACTCATTCTTGAAAGCAGTACTCATCTTCGACAGCAGTACTCTCTCGACAGCAGTGTCCTTTCCGACGCATATGGCCGCCAGCAATGACGGTCTGGACCCAGCTATCGTCAATCGTCAACATATGTTGTGGCCATGAGCACTTGACAGACAAATCTTGGTTTGTTGGACATGAAGCGAATTGCTCGACGCCCTCGACAGACATAACTTACTGTAGCGTTCACTGCGGATGATATGGAACAGTCACGTCATACAACCATCCATGACTGACGATCTTGTGAAGATCACCGTTGTCATGAGATACTATACCTCGTGACACTATGGAGCCTGAGGATACGTACCAGCCTCTCCAGCCGCGTCACGCGTGGATGATGTTGCGTGCGCGATCCGTAGCGAACGATTTCATTCGCAGCTCGACGAGAGATTCACCGTCCTGTGGCGAGAGACCGGTCGGCGCGCTATGATGAGCCAAATCACTATCATACTCGGCACTGTTGTCAAGGCTGACGTTGGGAACCGTTGATTCAAGCGATGAGTCGGTGGCAAAAGACAGAGTTCTTTGCCTCTTTGTCGTTGCTCCTTGGTATGTGATATAGCAGCCTTCTTGCCGTAAAACTACGCTGTCGACCCTACGTTCAAGCTCCACATCATAGTCGACCCAGGCTGTTTCGCTCATTTTGCCATTTCTCAGAGCAGGTCGGGACTAATGACCATGGCGTAGAGCCAAGACGGCTCTAGCAAAACTCTGGTAAAGAGCGCGCAGCTCACATCCCAAGGGACGGGTGGTGGCGTTGTGGTCTAGCGCAGCCTAATCAGCTACCGGCTTGAGGAAATGAGCGACGAAAGTGCCAGGGTACTTAGGAAAGAAAGTCCAGTCTCCGTTCGTGAAAGTGTAACGGAGGTTGGCGTCGAGGTAAACGTACTCAATAGCACTAGGACCTGAGAAATCCACGGCCGGGTCGATACTCTAATTGTATCCGTGCGTGTCGTTGCTAAGATAGACCGGATTGCTTTCCGCAGGCAATAGAGGGCAGGGCATCACGGCAGTGCTGTGATTGCTAAGCCGACGTGTCTTGCTGCAAGACGATACGCTAGGAGGATGTTCTACTAGTGCAACACAAGATGATACAGCATCCTGCTCTAGCCAAACCCAGGCAAACGGCAGCGAGAGCGGATCGTGCTAGAGGTCGAAGGTCTGGACGATGGAGTAGTCAGACTCTCCTGGAACATGGTAGAAGTAGGCCTCGGGCTGTGCAGGAAGCAACTCGGCGTGTTTCATGGTAACGCGCGGAGCTGAGACATTTGTCGATTGAGATAGATAGCCGTCATGTCGGTTGCCGGCGATGATGGCGCAAGCGTTGTGGACCAGGCCAAAGTGTAGAGCTCCATCTTCGTGATTCCAGGCAGACAGACTGATGAGGACTTCGAGGGTGCGAGGGTGACGGACGTGCAGGGTGTGATCAGGGAGTGGTCTGCGAACTAGGAAGGCATTCGTGCGGAAGCGGCGGTGGGAATACGTCGCTAGGTTGACGGAGCAGCACCGATCCTGTAGGTACAGCGATGCTGTGCGTTTGCGTCGACAGCCTTTGCGGTCGAGTAGGCCGTTGCTTCTTCGCTGCTTGTCCGTAGCATGTTGGCTCGTTGATCAGGTCGCCAAGATGACTGAGTGAATCCTGGTGTTGGTGGGCTGACTTGCTTGGCACATGGCCACAACCCCAAAGTAGCTCCTCGTAATTAGCTCCACCACCATTCAATAATGCTCTCCACCACGTAGAAGTAACCGCCATCACTTCACACAATGCGACTACTGTATCATTAATCCTTCCCTACGCTACATACACTGTCCTTCAATGCACACAACGCAAAGGACTTCCTACACTCCAAGTCAACTATAATGGACGATATCATGAGCCTCGGCGAGGCCAATACGCTCGAGGAGCAATGGCGCAATGAACGCTAGGAACACCCAGTTGGTAGTCTAAAGACCATGAAACCAGATCTGAAATCGCTTATTACCGACCGAAAGGAATGCTCCAACCATGCTTCAACCATGATGAAAGCATAGTTGCACCTCTTATGTAGTATGTACTCTGAATGGTCTGAGATTAGGGGGTGTCGACTCAGACGAGCTCACGCACGGCCCACTCTGGCTCGGTCCGGGGCGACTGCAAGCGCAACGAGAGAGGATTTCTGCAAGTCTGAATCTATTTTCAAAATTTACCCCAGCCTGGCTCGCTGCGCCGATGACCCTGGCGCATATTTGAGTAGCATTTTCCGAGTGATAAGACATCAACCCTCTCATGTATTGGCTTTTACATGCTCTGATTTCGGTTTAGATTACTTCAAATGCAACCGAAGTATCTCAATGTGTTTAGATGGTCGCAATATCGCCACAAAATCTGACCTCGTAAAGGTTGAGCCTGATGAGCATTCAACCACAAATACGAAAAAAAGTCATCTCAACACATATAAGCATTTTGCAACTCATACCTACCAACTTGTAGACCCTTACTCAGCTAGACTGTTGATGTCGTAGAAGGTGTAGAGTTTTCAACACTTGGAAGGTCGAATATTATCGCATGCATGTCAGAAGAGAAAACTCACACCGGGCCCTTTACTGAAACTTTCCACATGACTGAGCACTCCAGTCTGATGTCTCAGCACAAGAGACTCTTGCTAAAGATATCCTCTCACTCGACTTGATCAGATGGGTCATGTTTTGGACGTTCGAATTTGCTGCACTTTATTTGGCGCAGAACCTGCTACATACTAGAAACCTTCAGTGGTCTCGATGCACACAGTCCCTACTCTAGAGGATGTCTGAGCAACACCTACGCCTGCACAACCTCCTGTAGTGAAATTGAAGGTGTCGGTACGAGTCACGGTCCATCAAACGTTCCTAGTTCTGTTTGTGCTGGCATGCCCGTAGTACATCTGGAGTTCGAATTGGCTATCCGGAAGAGAGACCCTACCACTCCTCCAATCTCTGATCATACGATCCTCAATCTGATCATTTGCATAGGCAGTCTGCCGATCCAGATAATCGAGGTTGTCTAAATTCTTGAGCCAGAAGAGATTGGACCTGAGAGATGAACTCATCCGCTTCTAACAGGAACTAGAAAGAGGGGATGACGATCCTCATAATGAGTACATACTTTATCGACATCGGATGGGAATGAAATAGCAGGGGTTCCAACCGCTCCTTCGGAGTGTCATGTAGTAGTCAGCAGCGTATAACAACTGGATTCATAGCTCGATCGCTCGTTAGAGGTCTCGGCTCAATGTCTGATACGATCTCTTTCCGATAGTATCCTAAATGCAACAAGCTTGTCCTGATCCAGTACTGTGCCTCCAAACCTTTTACAAGCGTCGAGCACAATCTGAGCCTTTAAACGTGTAAATCAACTCGACGTATTGTGGTAGCTCTTAGTGCCCCCGGACTCGAAACCGGCTGCACTTTGCATCATTCTCTTGATTGCTGCCAGATCGTCTCGTTGGCCACAAGATATTGTGTCACCATCAGAATCTAGTATCGTCAACCATGATATAAGTTCGAAAAATTCATCTTCAACGAAGCCTTCACTCTTAATAGGTACATCAAATTTCGCAACCAGCTGTGCAGACTGAACTGTTGTCTGACTCTCGAGCAGAGTAGCCAATGTGTGGGCACGCGCAACGTGATACGAGTCTACGTTCATGTTGTCTATAGCACCGCTGATTGGGAGAAGCTAAGTGATACATGTGCAGTGAGCACATGGCCAGCGTTCCCACAGCACTACGAGCCAAGTTACAACGTTCTGCGAGCACAAGATATGGGGAACTTGTGGTGCAGGAATGCACCTTATGCTATCTGTAGCTCTGGCTGATAAGAGGTGAGAAGTAGCCACGCTGACAGGAGTCTCAGGAACGCAAATGGTTGATAAATTCACGTTGTGCAGACGAGTTAACAACAGTCCATGGGCGTCAGGCGTGCCCGGAATGTATGCACTAGCAGGTAGGCACGTATTCGAGAAAATAGAGGGCGCGGCCAATGTGGCTGGAGCATGTACGGAACAAGGCTCGACCTTGGCAGCTACAGCATGTGCTTCCGACGAGGACGATCGTATCACGTAGCCCAACAGGCGATTTTCGAATTCGGAAGTGTCGGCGTACTCGAAAGTGATGTCGGTCACGTGTGTGATCTCATCGGCGACTCTTGCTGGAGGAAACGTAGGCTTTTTCTGCCTACGACAATTTCCGGTCATCGGATCCTTGGGACCAAGTTCTATGATGGGAGCAGATAGTGTAAGGTGGAGGTGACACATGATCGCGTTTGCGTTTCAACGATCTAGGTTTCGCGCGATTGCTGTCTTCTTCTGTATCGTCCGAAGCATCATACAGTCACACAATCGAGCGTTCCACGGTTCGGGTAGACCTGCGTGAAGTGCTTTGGCTGCATGAGCGTGATGGAATGCAAGATGACAAGTTGGAGAGTCACAAGCGTGACAAGTTAGCATGGCCACTTGCGCAGAGATCCAACATCTCAGCAAGCAGCTACAGCGTATGTCGCTCAGGGGGCTCCTCAACATTGCTCTTCCAGACGAGCAGTAGTAAGGAACAGCGATGCTTGGGCAAACGTTCGACCCCGATACATACACGCTGCTTGCGCGGACTGGTGTTGACAGGTCGGGCGTTGCGCTCGCTACAACGAAGTAGCGTCTCTCGTCGCGCCACAGCTGCCCCTTATACTTTGTTGTTCTCCTCGTATCCTCTAGCCTGAATATCCGCGCGCTCACCTACCGGACTCTTTCGTACGACGATTCTCCCTCAGCCCTAGCTGTCGAGCAGCTCAATGACTCGGCGTATGTTCGCGACGCACGCTCTCTATGCACTCAGTTTCATCTCGGCGGCGCCGACTGCATTTGCGACATTTGTCCTCGGTCTTCTCCGAGAGATCCAGATCTTCATCTCGCAAGTGTGTTCTTGCACAGATTTTACACTTTGTCTGGGTCTCGTCTCGACATTCACACAAGCCAGCACCCCTGCGCCGCCGCCGAGCTGGAAGAAGTGCGAAATCCTAGATCTGTCGAGCTGAAGCTGCCTTAAAATCTTCGAGCTGAAGCTGCCTTAAAGGAGTAGTCGGTATTGTCTATCCGATGATTCTCAGATATCGTTGCACTATTGTAGCACTTTTGTAGCACTCTTGTAGCACTTTTGTAGCACTTCTGTAGCACTTCTGTAGCACTTCTGTAGCACTTCTGTAGCACTTCTGTAGCACTTCTGTAGCACTTTCGTTGTACTTGTCCTACACCTTCATAGCGCATCTTTGTGATGTCATTACAGCAAATATGAAGGCATGTTCCGCAAAACTCGTCTCACATGCCGATGATCTGATCCGTCTGACAGGACGTGAAGAATAAGAGCTAGATGTCATTCACTTGTGAGATTTACAGGCGTGCAGCTAATCGATTTCGTACCTTGTACAATGCGGGTTTCGTATCTAGAGCTCTGGCTCAAGCATTCGTGACTCTACTGAGCTATCCATATACTCATGATAGCATTCTATGTGAGTTTTAGGAGCCTCAAAACAAGCCAAAAGATCACGACTTGATCCAAAAAAAAGCACATCCAAAGAAATAAGCTTGTGGTGTACAACACGAACAACCATGCAGTCAACGAGGTCCACAAAAAATGTCAAACTACAAGCAGCTCTATTACTTCAAAGTTGGGGATGGAATCAGTATTCTGACCACGATCGGGGGCTAAGGCGAGAGGTGTCAAGGTGATCACCATAGGATCTTTCTAGCTGTGGTCCCGATTACTGAGAAGGTATTCCGTTGTGGGATGGGATTTTGTCGTTGGATTAATCACCCTTTGACTTGGATGGGCTACTAAAGCGGATCTTACTAGTTCCATCGTCTCTGTAAGTTTGATCTTGAGTCTCACTGATGGTTTCGTTCTTGACCTGTCCGCAAGGGTTAGAACAGCTGTATCCTTTCCCTTTGATCTTCTTGTCCCTGGTTTTCCATTCGAGGCCGGTCTTTTCTCTGAAAATCTTCTCGAATCGAGTCACAGATCCCTCGAGATCTCCATAAGCATAAGATCGTTGTTGACCATCTGTCCCACTGCGCCCCGATTTGGTTACAAGCGAATATGATTTGGGATTGTCGTGCGCAAGGATCTGGGTGACCCATGGGATTAGCTATCGCTCTTGTGCTTCGAAATTGTACTCAACTCCACGGACTTTGACTGAATGGCCATGATGAGACCACGTGTACATGCAACAATAAAAGTGCAACCAAGTGAAGTGGAAGAAGACAATTGTGTGGTTGCTTACTTCGAGATGAAAGAATTTGTCAACATTATCGTGTGGTTCTTTGCAATATAGCATAGCATCGTACGGGATGTTGTTATTCGGATCAACCAGAATCTTATGCGTGGCGGAAGAAGCACTATCTCCATCATCAGCAATCTGGTGCGCCATCTGCACAGAAGCTTGCCGAGTGATGCTAGATCCTAATTTAGCTGACGTCATATGCTCAGAGAACGCTTTGCTCGCTTTCAGCTGTTTGGTGCGGCTACAGCGGACTCGATCTTGCCGCGAAGCTTCGCCAAGCTCAGCAGGCGAATTTATTTGGTCCGTACTTGCCTTAGGTACTATGTAGGCTTTTTCGATGGCTTTGATGAGCTCAGGTCCCAAGGGATTCCCGTGCTTAACAAGCAGCATCTTTAGCTCAGCCAACTTCCCTTCTTCGTCCCTAATTCCACTTTGTTTCCGTCTTGTTTCTACTAGAAGCCCAAGAAGAAACGGTTTATTCTTCCTGTTAGGAACAGGAACTTCTCTCTGTCTGTGCTCTTCTTTGATCTCGTTGATCGTGATTTTGTTGATCGTAATATTGTCAGAATCATCTTCGGCTTCGATGCCCACCCTAAGTGTCTTCGCTGCGTGGGAGCTGCTTCCGTTTGTCTTGATAATGACAGAAGAGGGTGATACGGATGATCTAGTGATGCGCTTGGGTGGTAACGCCTTGCCAAGTGTCTTCAGGTTACCAGAACCAGGTTTCGAGCTTGTTTGGGCCCCGGATGGAGATTTTGTCATGTTATGATTCCGCTATCAGTATAGGCCTCGAAGCAGAGTTCTGAGTTGGAGCAGGGTTTCGAACGTGTTTACCTCGAGATATGGAAGCGAACGAAAGATCTGTGACCACGACCTGAGACCATTCAATAGAGGCGTAAGACCGGATATAAGAACCCTTCGGTGACGACTTTCCTGAACGCCATGACAGATAGAAGGGACATATGGGTGATGTGAGCCTTACATGATGTCTTACCTATTACGGACAGTGGATGTAGAGTTCAATTCGATATGCGGTCAGCCCTCAGGTTGTCGACCTTGAACCGAGGATGTCGTTGTTTGCAAGATGTAGCTATAATTACGGTCAGTTCACATCGAATGTACCCCTGGACAATATATGAGGCATAGCAGATAATTAAGATACCCGGGCGCGTGAGACCTGAAACCGGTATCGATCGACGCCGGTTCAGGACATATTAGCAGGTTGGCGCCTAGCACGAATCGGCCGAACTCGCAGACCCTTCTAGCTCACGGACGATGCATCTCGGGTGTTTGAGTGAGACCACGTAAGGTTCCTGTGTTGAGAGTGGAAAACGATTCAGGTTGTTGTATATGGTTCGGGTCAGCATCCGAGAATGTCATTATGAATGACAGTTGAGGACACAAGATCATGGAAATCAAAGGGGCAACTTATAAACTTCCTCTGTCGGTGCTTTTACTTAGGTTCAGCCTGAGGACTTACTCAAGTTGTATGCAACTCAAATGACTTGTAAATCAGTGCTTAGCTGTGCAAGCGACTCAGCCTGCGCACTAACTATCTCCCCAAGCGATTCCATGCAAGCTCGTCCTCCGAGGGTAGTTCCTTCCGTCTGATCCCCAAGCGAATTCGACCCCATGCACTTCCTAAGAGAGCGCCTCGTAAGTGCATGAAACTTGGCTACCGCGCCCTTGCGTGGCGATTCACTCCTGGCTGGCTGGTGAGTATTGCCTGTGTTTCACCTGGTAGTAACTGCAAAAAGAAGTTTTAAAAAACTGTTGTCCCGGACAGAAGATCTGCCAAGCAGCCTTCCACTCGAATCTTCATCGTGAGCCATGAACAAGTGCAGACAAGGATGAGCCTTCGGCGGATATATTTTGCTCCGCGTATCTGCATGCAGCAGAGAATGCGCTGATTATAGATGAGTGATGGTTTGGAACACCATCACTGACTAGCTGAGCTACTGCAGAATGTACCTCATCAATACTGTTCCCCGAAAAAGAGCTCGAGATCCTTCCCAATGAGTATGAAAGATCATCACGGCTAAGCCCCATGCGGCTCAGTTTAGGCCTCTCCTTGCAGTGTCCCCTGACAATCTTTCCCTAGTTCTGATAAGTATTGCCGTATCAACAATGGGACAAGTCTTCGGATGATCCGACCGATCGTCTCACCAGCACTGCTGAGATTTAGCACAGAAAAAAGCGCATCCCCGCTCGAGTCTAAGTGATCTCCATGATATGCGCCCAGATGACTGAATCCTTCAGAGCGCTTGAGTAGCTTGCGGCGATAGGAATATGTTGAGTCGTCAAGAAATGCTCTAACGCTATCTGGATATACAAAAGTCGTTCCACGAGTTGATAAGGTTCGTGGTAGGTATACACATCATGATTCAAGATGAGCAGACGATGGGGTGCGATTGCCTCAGAAGATAACTTTCATCGGATCTATCACAGACGAGTACAAGAGGCAATCATTTGCTCGCCTTGGCAGCCTTGATCCGAATCAGCATGAAACACTCCATATGCAGGTGATTCTATTTATCTCCATGATCGAAGCTCGGTTGTTTTAGGTAGCGATATCACCAGAGCCCAGGAAAGTCCAGTCAGGCAGATTGTCTTGCTGACTACAATCCTCCCGTGCAGCTCACTAACACATCCTTTCCGAGCCACATGATGGGAACTACATCTAGGCCATACACGCATTCTGCTTGCGTTAGACGAATCTGTGCATGGATGTGAACCCATATTTTACAGTTTCTAGTTGAAATGCGCGTGAACTGGATCCCACAGAAGTGTGATGAGAGTCTAAGACTTGCTCGAACATGGCTGCAGATCAGGCAAGATGCCTCAGCCGGAAATCTGTGAGTATATAGTGCAAAGGGAATTTGCGCGTAAAAGCTGCTTTTCTTACTTCGCATCTTTTGATTTCTACCCCTGCCTCAAGATATCGTTCATTAATTAAAGGTCTTTCAACAGCTACAGAACCATTGAACGAAGTTCTCACAGGATGCAAAGTACGCCGGATTCGTTGCCATCGACTCAAAGTCCTGAGAATTGGTACTACTATTTTACCAATCACGTTACCACCGATAGCCTTCACGATCTCGAGCCGTTTGAAAAAGTGCTGATCACGGAGCTCTGGGAGATCTTCTCTGGTATACCTCTGGCTACCTGAAAAGAATTGCAACTGGTTTAAAATGCCCAGAAAGTATCCGTGATTTGAATTTCGGTCTCGGAAAATTAAGCAAAGTCTTTCTCCCGCGATACAGGACCACTTGCTGAAAGCCAGTACAGGATGCGAGAAATGTATCTTTGCGCATGCTGACCACACGGTCTCAGAATAATCTCGCCTTAATGCCATGTTCCAGCATGAGGTGAATCCGTTGCTGCTTGCATGGACCTCGCAAGGGTCCGTTAGAAGGAACAGACTGCCTTCGCCCCTTCGAGTTTGTCAATGTTCTCAAGTCGCAAACGATCCAGAACACGCTACGATACAGAAGACAAAATCAATGTGCAGACCAGATAGCGGCTATACACCCATCTTCGAGCCTCGCACTCCACCGTATACATTTGACGACTATTCATGCTACAAGACGCTGGATTGATATAGGGACTTTTCATAACTCCCAGAATCAGTCGCTGATACCGCACCTGGAGAGTCAGTGTTGTTTTTACAATTTGAGAAAAACAATATACACTCTAAGTTCTATAGTCGTTCACGGTGGTTGATCCATCCCACTAAAGATATAGAAGATGCAAATTTCTGCTAGAGAACAAGATCTTCCAGGGCCCGATAGCTTCCGTCGGCCTGATCCAGCCCCTCGTGTTATTACATGATTGACATAATCTGTCGTGAGTCCCACACTAAATGATCATAGATCTGCACGTTCTCCTACCAATGATTCAAACTGAGCTCGTCTGATGGAATACGTGTGTAGATGCCAAAATTCTGTCTCAAAACGGCACGATGTAACGCAGTCATTTGCTGATCTACAAATGTCCTAACAAAGACTTCAAAAGCCTGTCGATATCAGGTGTTCGCCCATTGTTTCCAGTTTGAGAGAGTATTGATGGCTATCGAATTCGTCGCCCACACGATCTCGAGTGTGAACGTACGTCAAACCAATGTACCAGCTCTCTTTCCGATCTATCATAGCCACCGCAGACGTGTTTAGGCCATTTTAGTGGAGTAGGATAGTAAAACAGACGCTTTTCTTTGTGAATGGGCGGGAAACAGCAGCGGTGGACGGCTTTTGCCAATGTCTCAACTCATGTGACGATTCCCTCACGTATCAAGATCACAACAGCTAGGGCTTGTGCGAGGTCTGGGTCGGGATGATTGATTGCTGCGAATCGACCTCGTGAGTGACTTTGGACTGTCCCTGATCCTCATCTCATGTAAGCGTTGATTTCTGTGCATTTGAATGTGACACCCTGAAGCTTACTGTCTGGTGAGATAAAATTTGCTCATGTTTGTCACCTTTGTTTGATATCCTTATGGCTGAATATACTACTAATTCATCTCCAGAATCGGCCTCGTCATCGATTGCGACTGATTCGTTATCGCTGTCAAAACATATGCCTGTAGAGCGAGACATCCTTGATGTTGCGATAATGAGGTAAGGAAAGACGTTGTCCGAGAACAATCAGACTGATGGGCGACTCCAGACCTCTCGGTCAAACATCAGGATTGAGAAAAATGACTTTGAGGATTACTGCAAGCCACGTTTGGTTGTGCAACTTGCTGCAGCTTACTTGTATGGCTCGTTGTTCCCCCATGCATATTTACTACACAGACACGGCCCAGGCTGAGATTGACTTGTCGACTGCACTGCAAGTTTATCCAGATAGGCTTAGTATGATGACAAAATGCAGGTGTCGTACCGGAACGAGTGCTGAAAATCCCCCTGCATGCGCATCTCAAGCCAGCCGTGGACTCCGCTAGGCTTTTTGGAGCGCTAGTGACGCCCATGCAGTCCTGTGATATGATTGCATGGTGAGAACGCTAGTACTTCCGGGGTTTTTGTACCGATGCTCCATCGGGAAGATTGTTCCAGTCTCAACAAACGAAGTCGTTATGCAAGATTATCTCCTCATGGACACATCATCTGTACTTGCCATACATCATTGCCTCCCTAGTGTCAGTGACTACGAGCGAGACTGTAAGGAGTTTGATCCGATGTTGAAGTGAAGGAACAGGGATGAGAGAGCGCACGAGCACCTCAAATTACCGATGGTATCCCGAAACTCATAACTAAATGTTAAAAACTGCACGAGCTAACAAGACTTTCTCGCTCTGGGATTGAATGTCTCTAGATTCATCCTGGAAGAGTCATCTTTGACAGATAAGTACAACTGGAACATACTAGCATATCTATACACAAGAAGTGCAAAAAATGCCCGGACAGGAGAGAAAAACCACTCCAAACATACCTAGTTGCGACATGACACCTGCTTGATGGACAAGTCGGAGTTTCGCCAACACAGTTGTCCATCTCTACGAGCTTGAGTCGTGGCCGATTGGAGTTTTTGAGATTAATCCCCATCCATCAACACTTCGTGAAGAGGGCCCATCAGCTTGTGAAACTTCGATTCCCGGTCCCATCGTTTATCCTTCAAGTGATGTGAAAGAGAGTAACGCTAGCTCGAATCTGTGATGCCATGTAGAAGATCATGCCGCACTTTAAGACAATTATTTAGCAGACATGTGGTATAGGATCATACTGGGTATGCTGCATTCCAGTGGCATAATATGATCCGCATGTTTCGAGCATTCCAGCAAACGCAACTTGTTATTATTGGCCGCTGGCACTCAGCTAAAAGAGCCTCATCCTAATAATCAGTACCGTCAGTACCGCTAGTGACAATCTCTGCTCGGTGAACGATATGCAACAATGGAGACTGACCTAGTGTTGAAACAGGAGCATAGGTTGGCAAATTATCGGCGCACGATAAACGGAAGGATCTGCGTACCACACAGAAGATTTCTGTCAATCTTTGCATCGGGAATAGCCGATTAGATCCCTTGCTCAATAAGTTCGATCAGATCAATACTGACGTACTACTCATCATTCCAATTCATGAAGGCACCTCACGACCATTCGTATCGTTGTCGCAACACGTTGTTAACATAGTCCCGTTCCCAGCACCAGTCTTCCATCACCACCACTTATTCTATTCCTTCTCCCGTCCCATCACTCTACCCTCTTGCATGGCTTTAACGCAAATCAACCGCAGGAAGCGCTGATCGACCGTACCAGCGACGCCTCACCGTGCCTTTGCTATTCGCGGTGTTGAATAGATCTGGCTGATACGTTATTCTCGTGATAGCTTTGCACCATTGACCTCTGGTTCCAGTGTGGCCTTCGACTAGTGCTACAGATTCGTCACGATTTGTCTTGTATCTCTTTGGTCAAGATATATTAAGCCCTGGACTCGAGTGTTCTATATCGTCATCCTCATTGTCTTATTCTTACGCCTTTACTTTCCGCTCTACGAGTCATAGCTGCTTTGACCCATTCATCAAAGCCTAGATGAGTGGATTTGGATGTTCTACATGGATCGTGCGGTGAGAATACGCTAGCAACCATCTAAGTTGCTTGAAGATGCTGATAGCCATGACTGCCTCTGTGTCTGGCCTGAGACGAAGTCATCAAGCTCGTCTCATTCGCTGTATTTGGTGTTTGTACCGTCTCTACTGTGAATACCATCCCCCAGTACTCAACGTCTAGAGACATCAGACAACTGAGTTCTCCAGGAAAGCGCGCCAGATTCATGCCGCTACATGGAAAAGATATTTGTTACTATTCGTAACGCGATACTGCTGCGACCATCCTGAGAGAAGTATAGAGGCCTCTTATATTGTGCATCCACAGAAGATACAGACACTTGACTCTTCTCAACTCGGCCTGCTGTCGAAAACTCCAACACAAGATGGAAATGCAAACAGAGCACTCATGACTTGCCAGTGACCTTGACGAATCGTCTTGAGATAGACTCACAATGACATACCCGCAAACAGTCTTTGCATAAAGGCTGCATTGTATTCTTGATGATTCCCACAGTGTCACTTACCCTTGGCTGCAGTGGAGTCGCTTATGAAACCTTTGTCAAGAACCCTATTTTTGAGTAGGCTCTGGATTTTCCTAGCAATCGTCGCTTGGCTGATTATCGGGTCTCAAACATCGGTATTGAGATTGCAAAATCCTGACAAACACCCGAACGCATCGATTGGTTCTCAAATCAGCTGAGGTCACACTCTGGAGCGACAGGATTTCATCCTAGGGGTCCCTCATGCAAACTCCAAGCTTTCGCATGATGTGTACAGGCTCGCTATACCCACACATGATTCTCGGCCCTGTTGAGATAACCATACATAAGGCTAGCCAGTTCCCTGCTGCAAGTAACCTATAACATGAAGCCAAAGTAGATCCGTAATTGTTGCTCGTTACCGACCTCAGTCATGGTCTCCGGGATCCTTGAATCGAGGGTCATTTGCAGCGGAGTTGGCATAGTATGGCTGCGCGAGGTCAAGTCAGCTCGCTGTTTCGCTGAGCTACTTGTCCCACCTCAACGCTCCTCTTACCCTGCTCGATGTAGGTGTTGGTAATCCCAACCACTCACCTGTTACTGCTACTGCATGCTCCCTTTCCACTGTTTTGACGATGACTGCTGCCTTACAAATACTGTAGTCGCCGTCATTACGATCGACGGGACAACATCTTATCCTAGACCACGCAGTCATTCAATTAAGGACTTTACTGGGAACTGCTCGACGAGATGGTCAAGAAAGGTATCTCATCTCACGTAGCAGATGATAAGTGACGGAACAACACGGAGGGCAATGCATTGGGACTTGCAGGACAACCCAAGGCAAGGAAAAAGACGGCACTACTGGCAACATGGCTAGCTGACGTAGTCCAAGGTGGCAAGACGACAGGAAGCCACGTTAGCAACAACACTCTTTTGCTAGCTTACGTAGCTTGAGCTCGAAGAACGACTCGAAGCTACATCAGCAGCACGACTCGTCCACAGGACTTCGTCACTGGCTTACGCAGTCTGAGCTTGAAGAACGACTAGCTGCTACGTAGGAGATACATCTTCCCACCGCTGATGGCCGACCAACTTGGAGTCACACACATTACTCTAAAAATCTATCCATAACGGAGAATTAGATATTCTTGGCTCTCGGTCTAGTCGATCTGACGTTCGAGCTTTTGCGCGGGGGAGTTCTCGGCTGTGAGTTGTCGGACTCTCGCACCTTTATGATGGAACGCACAAGCCAGCGTGTGGTGGTCTGAGCGCTGCTTTCGCAAAGTGTAAGTTGCTGCAACCCATTCCCGCACGTAACGACAAGGATAACAACCGCAACAATAGCGGTTGGACGCCAGACAATCGAGTCGAGAAGTCCTCGGGTTGGGCTTTCCAGGATGACTCCAATCGTATATGGGAGAAGACTGTCTCGCTAGCAGCGGCGCTGGCCGAAATGCCGGCTTACGTGGTTTGAGCTCGAGAACCAACTTGAAGCTACGTGAGCAATAAGACTCTTTTACAGATTTTCATCGCTGGCTCACGTGTTATGAGATGTCTGGACGACTAGGAACTACGTGAGCAACAGCACTCCACTCCTGGCTTACGTAGTTTCGAGTTGTTTCTTGAGCTTAAACTACGTAAGAGGCACGATTACCTGCTGATGATGATCCGCTGATCTAATAATCACACGCACCTTATCTCGCGTAAGATATCGTCCATAAGCAAGAAACGGGTATCATTGGCGGTGAGCGGACTGTGTGGCTATCACAGGTTCGAATGTTCAAAAGCCTAGCTGACGATGTCACAACTCTTCGGGGAGGGGGCGTCGCGAGTCATAACTGCAAGCTTCCTTCTGCCTCCCCACCTTATTGTCCGCATCTCGTCATGCAGTCTCAAACTCGTACCTACGTTTCGGTCGATATTGCAGACTTGTTTCCGGCTATCACTAAACCGTGGCGAATCTGTCTTCGAGACTTTCACGTCACCCCGTCTGTCTCTGGCCTATGACACTACCTCAGTCTTACACTAGGTTGCAGATTACGATTTGGCACAGAAGTGCCTACTAATCAACAGAGACTTTAGAGAAAGCTGCACAGGCTTATCATATATAAGGGTCGAGCTGTTCCGTCGATCTAACATTTTCAAATCTCTCTAAGAGTGCATTTTTAATACAGTCCCATTTAATGTTCATCCACTTACTTGTAAGTCTTTCTTTAGCGACACTTAGTGTATGCACAAGTTCAGCCACTAGTCTTAGCTGGTTCGCTAAGGTCTAGGCTACAGATCCGGTCGTTCTTCTAGCCGGACCGCTTGCTACAGGAAGCGAGGTGTTCTCGAGCTTAACGAATTCATGTGTCGAGACGAACGATCATTCTAGTATCTAAGGCGCAAACTGCATTTCCGATGCGATTTATACCCTTTTATACATCGCAGCATCCGGAGATAGCAAGATAAGCAATGCCACTAACATAAAGAATGGGACGTTAGCCGCGAAGCGAAGCTCTAGTGCCGTAAAAGATCCGGATCTAACACTACGGAGCATCTCGTAAGGCTCTAATACGATGCCGGGCTCGACCACTTCGATCTACAAATTAAGATTAACAATCTTTAAACACACGTCAAACGCTACTTACGGAATCGTACGATCGATAGCGAGTTCTAACGGTGACGAGCCTAAATCTTAAGCAAAGCGTAGTCACCGAAGGAACACCTTTTCCTACGGAGGAGAATCGAAAGGGTTAAAGCTATCGTACAGAACGAGCTGTGGGTTCGCTTAGTTCGCTAATAATTCTCTAGCTTCGCTACGTGATCTTGCCTACAAATTTGCGTAGTCGTCATCCACCACTATGTAGTCGGACAGATATGTTCTGGAACTATTTAGCCTAGGTGACCGCACCATCAATTATATGTTGGCGACGTTAATCGCTAAGGCAGATGGCTACGGGAATGATTATAAGGAGTTTCCATCCGCGACGTTGTTTCTACTAGCGACTAAGTGCTAGCGTTACACTATTAGAGTGCTCTTAAGCTTGTTCTACCCTAAAATAAATCTGCTATCCTTATAGTGTTTACATAACGCGTCATCCGGACTTCCCTATTATGTTAGTTTGTACGAGGTTACCCGAAAGATAATGCTAGTTAGCGCTAGTCGATGCTTAGGCAGGCATTCGACGAAAATGGAATACGTGACATAGACACCTAATCTAGCCGGGATTAGTTAGAATCCGATGGAATCTGGACAAGATAATCTAATTTCATAGAGGAATCGGGGGGCTTATAGCTAATAAGCTTTTGCTTTAAGTTGGCCTAGGGATTAAAGAATCTGTAGATTAACATACGATCGTAAAGACTAAGGCACGCAAGCGACACGGTTCCTAATCCTACTACCGTATAAAGATAAGAGCACATCCTAATAGAAGTTAGGAGCACGCCACTATCGCGATAATACTACGCGCTACTTATAGCTAGTTAGCATCTTTATAGCAAAGATCTAGGATTAGGAAACGGTTAACTTTACGGCATGTTATCATTCTAGGTGTAGCATACGTGGTGTAATACACGAGCTTTAACGTACCGCCAATATAATCTTAATTCGTATCTCCGGTTTAAAAGACGCAGATTACATATGGAGCCCTATTACTAACATGATTTTCTATCATCCTCTAAACTTAAAGTACGTAAGCAAGCGTTAAGGCCAGCGATGCGATCTTGTCACTTGCATAAGATCGAGTCGGTCCTCGAGCTCGAACTATGGCCCCTACCTCCACGCTCTCGACTTTTACTTCCTTAATGCCTACTACTTCATCCTCGGCTGCTGTCCTTAACGTTTCTATCTATGATACGGTATTAAACTGCTAAAACAATACCGTAAAGATTATGTGTGTTAATAATGTATGCGCTACCCCTAGTAATAGGAAAGATCCCTACAACTATGGTTATAACCCTACGTAGATAGGTCGCGACTATGGCGACTATAAATGCTTCGGCGGACGATGCGTAATCGACACCTATACTATCGATTAAACCACTATACGCACTAGAATAAATCTGGGGGTTAGTAACGGCACGAACGTCTACTATCTAGCGTAGTATTACGCCGAGGATGATACCAAGCCTCCTAATAGCATTGCCCTAGCATCTTCTGTTCCTCCCGCTCTAGGATCGTTCTTTACTCTATCGGATGGTTCTAGGAATTTAAGGTCGAAACATATCCTTTATTGTTCCTAGGCTATTCTCCATCTACTAACTATATGGTTTAGAATCACACAGCTAGTCCAAATATAGGTATATGGCGCAAATGGTTGTAATGGGGACATAGTTATAGCCTATAACGGACGAACGTACCACTTCGCGATAGACGCAAATAACTACGCCATTACACTGCTAGACATAGTAAGCTCCCTTATTAAACGCTTTTCCGTTAACTACTCTAAGTTCGTCCCTTTCGCCATACGTAATAAGGCAACCTTTATCTTAGCCGGCCGCTATTAATCTACTAGCCTAACCTAAAAGGTTCCTATAAGTAACCCTAGTCTCGCGCCTAACGGCTGCGGTTCGGCTATAACCAAAACGTACGTACCCGACTACCGCTTCGTAACCTGCTATAACGGCTACGATACTTATTACTCGACCTGCGCGCGCGGCTTCTTGGAATACGATAACGACTTTCACGACTATATGGTTATAGTCTATGTAAAGCTTAACCTAATCGAAGCAAAATTTTGGCTCATCGGACGGTAAGAAGGCGTAACTAAAGGCTACTAGGCTAAGCGATTGCGATGACGCACTCTAATCTTTGCTAAGATAAGGGCTATGATTATAATCCACCGTACTGCTAACGAACTATAGTGTTTACCCGTGTACTCGAATAAGGAAGTACATAACTTGTCACTAATTAAATGTATAGAGATCGCCGGTATTAGCGACGTTAAATGGCCGGGAATTACGCCTCGGACTAGTGATCCTCTACAAATGAAGGTGTCCGCTTAAAGGAGGTCATTTATCGAGCTACTATAGCCCGCATATGTTCGTACTAAATCGAGGATAATATCTATCCGCTTTACCACTAGCAGAGAGTACACTAGGTTAATAAGGCTTATTATATACGTAGAGCATTAAACGAGAGTAGGGGTATGTTAGGTTTATGGTTAGCCCTATCTGCCGAGAATCGACTAGAGGCTAAAACCCGGTCCGTAGAAACCATATTCTATTACTAAAAGCAATATCGATAAGAAGACGCATATGTGCTAGGAGTCGGGACTGTCTTAAGCATAGATTTTAAAGGGCAATTTGTTTAAAGTTGTATAACTCGAGACGGAGGATTTTAACAAAATTAAAGATTTCTTTAGGTATATGTAACTCCCGTTTAACACTTACGTTTATAATGCTCCTAATCTTTATATTCTAATTAGGAACTTAAGTCATTACGCTATAATACCGATATATACTTATATTATATGGTTATAACCTATTAGCTTCTTATAGCGTTAGAAGGCTGTCCTATACTAGAAGTGCCACCTAGAATTCGGAGATCCTCTCGATTAGTAGCAGAACATTTAGATAACGACTTATGTCTTTCTAGACAGATCCCTATACGCTTAAGAGTATTAAGGTCGAATCTCTAGTCGTTCTTCATAAAAGTACGCGCGAGTAGAAAGGTGATTAGGCATATTAGGTTAAAGAAGATACTCGTAAGAATGGTCGGTAATGTTTAATAGACCTATATTCCGGTGCTATGGTTATAGCTATAAGAAATAGATGGTTAATTTGCGGATAGCTAGACAATCCGTAATAAGCTCTAAAGCAAAGAGGTAGATGGTATAACTATAATAAGCAATTAAATTGTTCTTTTAACTACGTAGAGGTTAATTAGTTATGTCTCCTATAAGGATTCTGCTTGTTAGTTCTATATGGGAGGTCTCTAGATATGTATACGATAACGACACTATACGGCTACGGAGAAAATATTCTAGTTTTCTATCCTACGATTAGTCTAGGCGGTAACTAGTTCTTTCCGTAGCTCGTAATTAACCGCTAAGAAGACATTTGTAAAACCTGTATCTATAACCCTTATTAGCATTGTTACCTTGTCGGATGTAGCGAGATGTTTAAAATCATTAGTAATGATTTATGCCGCTAGCGTAGATAGATAGGATAGTCGATAGTCGAGCCGTCCGGAAGTTAGAACCACCGAATTAGAAGCTTTTAAGAGACTGGCCCAGGTTTTCTTTAATACCGTCGACGCTTCTTCTAAGCACGCTACGTCGACTTATAGCATCTTATAAGACTCCTTATAGGCTTCCCGAATCTTCTAACCGTAGTCGTTAATCTCTTCGTAGCACTCGTCTATCTTCTTAATAATTGCCATTCTACCATTATCGATCGCTTCTATAACCCGAAGCTTAGCCTCTTTACAAATCTCTTAATGTTCGGTTAGGATTAACTGCTTCTCCTTATCCATAACATCCTATATAATCTCATAAACGGTGGGCATGTCCTCTAGGGATGAGACTAACCTTAGTCGTTTATTCTAGTATAGGGGAGGTTTAGCGATGGAGTTAGGCTTAGGACGCCCTCTACAGAATACCGTCGGAACGATGTATAGGGGCGACATCTCCTAAGAGTGTTAACTTTTGGTTAATAAGGCCGGCGAGCAAACAGTTGATAACGTTCGGGTGTCGTATGTATCGCTTTTAGGAGAGATACCGTTCTGGGTAGGTTTTCTAACCTTAGAAGGCGTCTCTACCACTAGGTAAGTGCTAGCACCGTTAGGACCGTCTACCCCGGTAGGCATATCGAATTCGAAGGAAGAGCAGACTTCGGTAGGAGAACATAGTAATGGTAGGGAGTAAGGAGGATATAACATTAGATTAGATACTATATCCTTATGTTATAAACGCTTTCTAAGGATAGTAGCTAGTAAGATGACTTAATTGTAGGTGGGTAATGGGGGGGCCTAGTCAAATATAGTCTAGTCTCTCTCCTACGCGCCCGTCCCTCTATTAAAGTGGCTATAATTTACTCGCGGCGGACTTAATGCGTTTTTAGTTAACGTAGAGGCAAACGTTTAAAGCCGAAGCTAATCGTTAATTAGGAAATCCTACTTAGAATAATGGAGACGAATACTTTTTGTCCGACTTATTCGCGAGATGGCATAAAAGTCACTATCGCTCGGATTAACGGGACTAATAAACTCCGGCAATCTCGATAGAACGAGAATAATGCTAGGCTCTCTAAGCTATAGCGACAACGTGGTGACGGTAGAGGCTTCCTTAACTCCCTTAAGCCTCGTTAACAACTCGTTCGGGAGCAAGTTCTTATAGCTATGTAGAGTCACTATACATGCATTAATGGCTCTAGGAAGAAAATTTAGATGGATTATTCGATATTCATTATTAAACCCGGCAAGCTTAAGGTTAATTCTAATAGTGATGTAACCTTCCTGTTTTATCTGGTTATAGCTAACATTCGCGTGAGCTAGATAACTAACGTTGCCAAATTCTAGTGCATGAATTAAGATAGCCTTCCTATCTAATCTCTAAGGCGGCTCTTATACTATGGGTATTGCTATTATGTCCTAAGAGTAGAAAAAGCAGAAAACCCCCTCGATAGAATTAAGGAACCCTCCTACCCGGGCTTTATATCGACAATAAGTAGCCCTAGCTCGTAGTAGAAGTAGTGACAAGATGAAAATAGATAGTAAGGAGGAATTAAAACCATTCGGTATGCACTTCGAACCTACGTACTACACTTCCGTTACTTAGAAACCTAATTACTAGTATATGCCTAATCCAAAATTAATAAGAGATAGTGGAGAGTCCTATAAAAATATAGGAATGGCAAAACTTTTAACTAGGACAACTAAGTAGCAGAGGTAGTAGAGGTAGTATAGAAGCGTAAAGCAGCCGCTTAGTAAATTAAGTGTAAAGCGTAGGGAACGCAATTAATTTTTTAGTAAGGATTTAGGGCGGGACATATATTTATGATTTGCGGACGCGACGCGTAGACGTGTTATGGCGTAACGTGCTAAGAAATTGGCTTTTCTCGCTTAGCGTATGTATAGGTAGCGTAGTAGAGCGCTAATAAGAATTAGTCTACTACTACTTACCGCTAAGAAGAAGGTAAGTAAGCCTAGAGGAGTTTAGAGCATACGCACGATTCGATGTCTCGTGTTTTATGTAACTACGTATAATATTACGACCGTATGCCTAAGAATAATGTGCCGGCTATATACGCTTGAGCTACGAATCTCGCTAATCGCGCTCGTAGATACACTAAGCTCGTCTTTACTCGAATAGCGGTTATTCCTATACGGAAATGGCTCTAGGGAGGGTTAAAAAGGAATACGTTAGAGAGTTTGCATGCATTATTATAAGTCGCGCACGTAGATTCCGGCCTCTTTTATATTAAAAGCGTAGAAAGAATAAATATTGTAAGTGCTCGAAGAAGCTTATATAGATAAACCAATTTAGGGAATATTCGAACTAGTAAAGATGGCCTACATCGATATAGCTGCACTATATTAAATGATTAGAGCATTCTGTTAAGAAAAGATAATAGAAAGAAAAAGTACTAAGAAACTTACTATCTATGTAAGACGGCGCTAGTAGAACAACATTACTATAGTTATAAAAAAGAACTTCCTTATAATAGTTATAATCTCGAGACACTTAAGAATTGAGTTTAAGTAGATATCGCTGCTCGTATTACCTTTTTATTTTCTTCGTAAGTGCTAGGCCCTCGTATACATTACGACCATCGATGGTCCGGACCCTAGTTAGGCTTATTATATAGGACCTCTCGGATAGCACATGTCTAGATCCTAGTACATAAGATGCAAACAAAACGGTAGAACACCTAGTAAGAGAAGCTAGGGTATCGAGTAGTATAGCTTTACTACGTCTATCCATCTATCCTAGCGGTCATTTTTAGCCATCGTGAACTACATCTTAGGCTACTATCATCTGCCGATTTGTCGCCGATGTACTTACCTACCGGACGAAGACTCGGTTATCGCAAGATTATTCTCCCTAGGATATTTAGCTATAACATCGAAGCGTAGGTTATAGATCTTTCTAGAGTCGGGACTGCTCTAGTGGTGCGAGCACTCTAACTTAAACGTTATGGTAAATGACTTCTTCTAACCTAGGAAATGCTAATTCCTAGAACATGGCGTAGATAAAGCTTTTACCGAAATCTATAAAGTCGAGTACGCCGATTCGAGAACCATAATTCTAGCGACGACCCGCTAGTAATAGTGCGATGGCCCTAGTCCTCGTCCTATTATCCTCGCATACCTTTTAGGGGTAGTTAAACTATAGCGCATTTAACGTAAGGTCGGACTATATGCGGTTCCCGCGTGCGTAACGCGCTAAATCCGCGTCGCATCTGTCCTCGTATAGGGACCTAGAGACGTTCGTCTTAAGTTCGAAGGCATCCTAGAACGCGGCGGCTTATAATGCTAAAAATTTGATGTTTTCATTTAAGAGTGTCGGTTCGTTCGTTTCTGTTTATAACTAAGACTTATGTAAAGGTAGTGATTATAGTATGAGTGTAGGGGCTAAAGAAAGAAGTTAGATGTAGGGAGACGTCAAATTTGGTGTTTTACTTCCTGCCTAGCTACGTAGCTTTCCATCTAGCATCGAGACCATTTTAAACGTGCTTACTTCCTTAATGCATCTAGGTTATATTTTTGGCGTATCTTTCATCCGAGAGGAGGAGATATGGCTATTATTATCTATATAGCAAAGCGACTAAGCGACAGAGAAAGATAAAGGGGTATAAGAGTAGGGAATGCTACTATAGAAAACTAATAGGGTCATCTCCTCCTCTACTAGAAACTCTTAGTAGTCCCTTACTAAAGAGTGGAATATTAGAATATTCCACTAAAATCGACGATTCTATTTTATGCTAACAGAGTGGAATATTTCACTTAAAATTAGCAGAATATTCTAACATTCTACTTATTCTATGCTA